TAAAAGCCTTTAATTAAGTTTCAGTTTATGATTATTTGTGTTTCAATAAAAGAAATGTATTCTATTTAATCTTTTCATAACGATTATAATTATACTATTAAGAAAAGTCAAGATAATCAAATTCTTAAGATGTTTTAATAATTGAAGTCAATATTTTAGTCTCTTTTTGTTGAAAATAGAGTTACAAAAAATCAATTAAAATAATTGACATTTAATTAAAAATTTCCTTTTATTCTTAAAATTATTAGTATTATTAAACTTACTCTTATAAAGGTTGATTTTATTCTAATGATTGAGGTAATAAAGTATAGGCTTAAATTAATAAATTGACATCAAAGTATTTTTCATGAAATTCTTTATTTTAAGGTAAATTGAAAGTATATAATTTATAAAACATTTATAAGGTCTTACAAACACTAAGACTAAGATTAATTTAATTTTCTTTAATTAAATTAAATTTAACAAGTTCTTAAGTAATTGTAAGTAATTTTTCAATAGTTTTAGTATCATTAATTGTGAATTATCTTGTTAATTATTTAAGCAAAGGTTTGCTTTTAAATTCTTGCAATTCTAATTAAGATGATTCAGCATTAAAACCATTAGATTATAATCCATATAATTTATTTAAATTAAATATTAATTTAGGAATTTATTTTGGTTAATAAGGATAACAATCAACATATAAATTCATTAAAATGATAATTAATCTGCATCTTAATGATTCTGCATTTCCAGAGTAACTTATATAATTAATTAAAATCTTTTAAGGTAATTTTGTCCTATAAAATTAAATATTTTCATAATTCCTTTCCTAACATAACAATCCTATAAGATTCAATTAAGAATCAAGAAAATTCTTACATTCAATTATATCCTTCATAAAATCTCTATTAATTTTACTACTTTAAACATAAATTTCATTTAATTCATATAAATTTTCATCTATTTAAACATATAATAGATTATCTTCTTTTATAACAAATTATAATAAAATTTTTGGACCTTATATGATATGCTTACCAATATTTATTTAATTATTAAAACAAGCTTTATCATTTTATAAACATAAAACACTTAATATCTTCATAATATTACCCCAAAATCTTTTATTAAGTATTTAGAGACAATAATTTGCTCTTTCAAATATTTCATCTATTAAAGTTTAAGATTTTATTAAATTTTATTATTTAGTTAAAATAGTATTGATTCTTGTAGAACGTTTGATTAAGGATTGATCATATTCTTTCTCAGATTCTCCAATAAAAGGCATTATACCTGCAACAGGTATTAAATTTTGATTATTTTCAAATAATCGAATCAAACAATAGAATGCTCCAACATTATATCCTAAATATTATTTTAATTTAAAATAAGCCAAAAATATTATTTAACTATTATAATCGTTATTAGAACTAAAGGCTTCAAAAAATAGGAAAATTTAATTTAGTATAGTATCTAATTGAAATAAGAATTATAAATTTTAATCTTCAATTGGTATATCATTATTTAATTGAATTTTATTTTATTCTATGATTTATGTATATTCATATTGCCATTTAACAATTTCAATAAATTCAATAAGAGATTAAACTATAACTTTTTTTCTTAATAAATCTTAATTATATTAATTCATTTTCAAATAATATATTGCATTTTTATCTATTATTTTTGGTTTATCTTCATCTGCAACACAAAAAATAATTAAATCATTTAATGCAATTTCTAATTATTATAATTAAAAGAATAGTTCATCAAATTTTCCATCATTTATTGATTAATTCTTAATAAATAAATTGATTTAATCATTGTGTAATTAATATTTTAGATTTATTTATTAAATTAATTAAACTATATTTTCTAGCCAATTTTAATGAATAAAATCTACATTAGAGATCAAATCGTATTGTAATAAATCTAATTTAGACTTTTTAGATTTAAATTCAATTAATTATTTATCTTAAATTTAATTAAAATTATTTTCATTAAAAATCTTATAACTTAAATATTAATTATTCCAAAGAATATAAAATAGTTTATTATTAATAGATTCTTCTTCAATATATGAATAGAGTGAAGCATCTTAATAATTATTACAAATCTAATCTCCATTCATATAAAAATTACCAGACAAATTTTAAAGATAAAATTAATCTCCTTATTTGATTTATTAATTGATCTTTTAAGGATGATATAGTCTCCATATATCATAAAGCAATAAATCTATATTTTATTAATTTCTTTCTCCAGATCTCCAAAAAACTGTTTTATTTTTTGAAAAAATGCGTTAATATTGTGTTTACACATCAGTCATATGTAAGTTATTAATATGAGGATTCTATTGAATATTTTCAAAGGTAGTTAATTCTAAATAAAAATCTCTTTCAATTTATTTAATTTTAATTAGACTACCATAACAAAGTGAAATAGATTAATTATCTTTGAGATGTTTTTTCAATTTAAATGTTGTCTATTTTGCTGCTTAAACTATGAAATCCGATGTTTATAGCAGATTTTGATTGATATTTACAAATAAATCTGATTATTATTCTAAATTTTACAATATAATATTTTCAGGAGAATACATCAAAAATATATCATCATCAAAAGAGACTTTATTGGAATTCTTTAATATAATAGATTCATTACTTAAATTTATGATTTATAACAAGGTTATATTCTGAATAGCGATGTTCTATCAATTACATTGGTTAAAGAGAGTATACTTTTGTCATTATGTACAATAACACATATATATTTATTAGATTTAGATAGTTGTAATACAATATCTTATGAGTATTGGATAATTTCCTATTCATTTAGTATCTTGATTTCATCATTATCAAATGAAACTGGAAAGATATGAAAAATCATATTTTCTATTTGTAATTAAGATCTAAGAATATTATTTTGATGAACTTAATTTTAATGAAAGGTGGATAAAATCCATCCGAACTTAGGAACATGTCATTACATTAAATAAGGATCTCATCATTTGAACATACTTGAGTCAATTGAAAATTATAATCCATATTTTATAATTAATAATTTAATTTATAAATGGACAAGAACTAAACCTATATTCTTTTTAATTACAATGAAAATTATAAAGACAACCACATTATGATTAATGAGAAATAATGTATTTTGATTCCACAAAAAAACAAATAAATATTATAATTATATATATAAATTACACCCCGAAAAGTGAAACAATCTAAAAGAATAAATTCCTATATCAATACTTTTTATTATTATATAATAAATGTTTACATTAAGTATGATTGAAGGATTACTATTACTAATATATGTAGTAATATTAGTACATGAATACTCATAGTAATAAGTACCCTTTTATGTTAAATTATTAACTTATATATCATGGATATTATCTTTTGGGATTGTTTTTATAATTCCACATGATATCTATTATACTTTAAATGATAATGGGAATGGATATGAATATACAGTGATTATTTGGAAATGGATTTATTGGGGTAATTTTGTATTGAGTTGGTGAGATAAATATTTATAAATGGTTTTAGGTTAATTTTACCAATATGTTAGGAATATGAAGATGCAGGAGAATTTACATTTAAGGAAAAGTTAATAAGATCTTGTAAAAACAATCTAATAGCATATGCATATTTGATAGTTTTAGGATTAGTATTTATTGGGTATTTGGCAATATTCAATAAATTGGATTTTGATTCAATTTTGAAATTGTTAATTGCATTAGCTTATGGATTGTATGAATAATTTGTAATAAAAGTGGTATCCTCTTAGTAGTTATTTTGTTGGGACATGGTTTAGTAGCAATACCACGTGAATATTGGAGAAAATCATAATATGAAAAATGTTTAAGAGGATTGTATTTAGAAGCAGCATAAATACATCATGCAATATAAGAATTATATGATTAATTGATAAATTTGACTATTGAAGTGATTTAACACAAGAATACAAATCCAGATTTAACATGTACTTATTGATATTGAATAAAGTACACCTATTGAAAAATGGTTAGATACCTTATGAGATTATAGAGGAAGCTTAATATAAATATAAAGAGAAGAATAGAAAGTTGGAGCCATGGCCAGAAGTTAATAAGAGAGTTAAGAAGAAAGCATCTGAATATAAGAGAGCCATAACAAAATGGGAACATATATGTACAGAGTGTTTTCTTTTGGAAGACATGATAGATAATGAATTTAGTGTTCATTATAAGATTAGATCAACTTTAAGATATGAGAGATCAGGAATAATGGGACATTATTTTGATATGTTATAATGGTTATGGTACACAAAAATAAAGAAGGCTTATTTATTATCTTTGAGTGTGATATTTTGGATATTATCAAGCATAGTCATATTATCAGAGATCTCTTGTTTTACTTAATTTGATATAAATATATTGAAGAGAATTATAAATGTGAATGGATTCTTTTAAATATAGATATCAATTCTAATACCTTTAATGTACATATCATTTTGTGCATTTTATGGTTTGTTTCATATTAATTTTGCAGGAATGTATGGATTTTATAATCATTAATAAACTGATGCTCCAAGTTTATTATTTGGATCAATGTAAGAATATCATTTTAATAATTAGTAATTTTTCAAGAGTGTCATTTCCTCTTACATTTAATTTTTTATAGATGATATAAATATCAGGTACACCTTTTGAGGATGTAATAGGGAATATGGATACAAGTTCAGTATTAGGAATGTCATTCTCTTATTCTTTACCTATATTATTGATTTTGGCATCGGTTTTCAATTTTTTTGAAGTTTATGATAAAATTCTTTAAGGAATAGGTTTACCATAGTTTAAGTTTTCTTAAGTACAATTTAGTAGCAAAGAAGGAGAGAGATTGATATGTAGAGCAAGAGTTAAGAGAGAAAGAGATGTATTGAATAAAGTGGGTATAAAATTTTTTGATCAATGTGAAATGCGGGAATTGGATTGCTAAATGATTTAAATTGTCTGATATTTATTTATGTCTCAATAATTTGTGGGAATTAATGGTGAATAAACAGGTCTAGGATTCACTAATCGAGATCAAGGAGCCAAAGTAGAAGAAGATCAAGGTTTGATTGACTTCAAAATAATAACCAATAATGGAACCCACGAGAGTATGAAGATGCTTATTGATCTCAAAAACATCTTTGCTAGACAACTACCTAAAATGCCTAAAGAATATATAGTACGATTAGTATTTGATCGAAATCATGAATCCATGTGTATAATAAAAGTATTACATCAAAACTATTAATTTAGGACAACACTAAAGTAATTGGAGGAATCTGTTATCGAAAGTATCCAACTTAAAGATTTGCTGAAATTGCATTCTTAGCCATTACTGCTACACTATAAGTAAAAGGTTATGGAACTAGATTAATGAACAAATTCAAAGAACATATCTAAAAACAAGATGTTGAATACTTACTTACATATGCTGATAATTATGCAATAGGATATTTTCGAAAGTAAGGATTCTATTAAGAAATAAAAATGTAACCAGATCGATGGAAAGGATTTATTAAAGATTATGATGGAGGTACCTTAATGGAATGTTATGTACATCCATTTATAGACTATGGCAATATTAGTGATTTAATTAGAGAGTAAAAGCAGGTAAGATTGAGTTTAATGTTAGTAAATGATAGATATTATCAAGAAATTGACTTTGAATGATAGGGTTTACCCTGGATTAGATAAACAGAATTATAAAGTTGAAAATTCCAATTCTGATAAACCTACTGTCAAACCTGAGAGTATTTAAGGCATTTTAGAAAGTGGATGGACAATTGATGATTATAATGAACTCAAAAAACAAAAGGAGAAAACATTTATGATTTCTTGTCAATAAATTATAGACACTATGAGAAAACATAAATCAGCTTGGCCTTTCTTAGATCCAGTTAATAAAGATGATGTTCCTGATTATTATGATGTTATTACAGATCCTATTGACATCAAAACTATCGAAAAGAAATTATAATCTAATTAATATACATCCAAAGATCTCTTCATTAAGGATGTTAAGAGGATATTTACAAATTGTAGAAATTATAATCAACCTGATACAATTTACTATAAATGTGCCAATGAATTAGAACGTAGTATTGATGATTATCTAAAGAAACTTAAAGATGAATAATAAATACCAGGAGTTAGTAAGAAAATCAAAAAAACAAACAATAAATGATAATTAATTTATATATAAATAGATAAATTCAAATTTATTCAAATTTCTTAAGCTGCATTTCCATGAACTTTTTATAACAATTAAAGTCTTTCTTTCAATTATTATTATTCACGATATTGTTATTCATATATTTCTTTAACATACTTTATCTATTCTACTTATTCTTTTATTAATGTCTAATTTTTTGTTAGATGTTCTAAAAATATAGCATTTAAACTTTCTTCAATTGTCTTATCATCAATTAAAATTTCTCTGACTATAAAATATAATTCAATCTTATACAATCTTAATTTTCTATATCATGTAGCAGTTATTTGAATTTTTATATTTTTATTGTATTTTGTACCTTTTGTTTTAATTAATTTTGCAAATCACCTAGAATTGCAAATTCATCTTTCTACTTTTATTTTAACTCTTGCAATTTATGTTGTAATTATTACAAATCTTCTTTCTCTTAATTTTTTTCCAATTTTTAAAACTCAACTTTATTTTTTAATTGCTAATCAACCGCCATTTAAATTTGTCTTAGTTTCCTCAAGATTTCCTCACCTTAGGGAGTACGTAATAAGCCACATTCATCCTTTAGATATTCAATAATAATTTTCTCTTGATAATGTATATAGGATTTATCAATTCTTTACTCAATTGGTAGTTAAAGAGCCATTTATTTTATTTTTAATATTTTGAACACATAATTATCAAAATTAATTGAAATGTTAATTAAGCAAAACAATGACTTTGTTACAAAAATCCATAAAAACAACTGGATGTCTTCTACATAATTGAAATTCGATCATGTGATCATTATTATTGGTAGGCATCTTAAAATATTAAAAAAAAGAGATATACTTTATAAATTTGAATGTTAAATATAATTTCTTTAGGTGAATATTTATTTTCTTTTGTTTTTGGTTTCTTGTTATTGTTTTCCTCTTTAAAATTAAGATAAGCTAAATCATTCTTTGATCCTGCTTCCTCTTCTTCTTTTTGAAATTCATTAAACAATTCAACACTAGAATTGTATTTAGTCATCTTTATCAAGTTCTTATGATAACACTTCAATTTATAATCAGGACTTTTTATCTTAATTACAATATTAAACTTTTTCTAAACAAGTATAAATAGCATTAATAATTTATCTAGCCTAATATAGATAATACAATAGCCACGATATCCTTAGGTAGTTCCTTACCATAATCATATGGAGCAGGTTTTTGAATTTCTGAAAGTAAAATATTTTCAAATGACTACCTTTCCACTTATGGTATTAAAGGATTATAATATCAAATCTTACTTAGTTAGATTATTATGGGAGTTGATGATTCAATTCCCATTTATCCAAAAAGTAAATCATATATCACAACAAATGATTTATCTTTCCTTTTGCGTATACTTTTTTAGATTTCATTTTGAGAAATCCCTTTCACATTGACAGAAGGTATTTAAATTAATTTCTCAAAGACTTCATCATTGATTTCTCTTCTCCCTTAAATGGCATTAATAAATAAAAAGGCACCTGATTACTTCTCATATAAGAATGTAAATGGATCTCATGAAATTTAATTCTCTTTAAAGGATCTGGAGTCAACATCCTATTTAATCAAATCTCTCACATAAAGACAGAAAAATTTGGAATTGAATAATCAGCTGTCTTAATTTTCTTAAATAAGGCTTACTTAGTTTCTTCATCAAATGGTAGATATCCTGCTAACAATGCAAACAAGATAACTCCACAACTCCATACATCTGCATCTGACCCACAGTAAGTTTTACCTGAAATCACTTCTGGCATAATTGGGATATCCACAAGATGTCTTAAGATATTAACCATCTTTCATTATCATTAGATTACTGAGTCCAAAATCTGCTATCTTCACAATATAATTATTAGTTATCAATATGTTTTCAGGTTTAAGATCTCGATGAGCAATTCACATCTCTCTACATATTCCATTACTACAAAGATGTCTCCAGAAGTATCAAGCACTTCATATAATTTGATCACAATTTGGATGATTAAAATATCTTAATAGTCATATCTCTCTTCTAATTTTAGGTTCCATTCTTGAATTCTTCATCTTTTTCTTATTGATAATTTTAATAGCCCTACCTACACCTAAAGTTTTACCTATAATATAATGTTCTATTTATAGTGGAACTTAACTTTATGATTACATTAATTTTATCATATACTTCAATTTTTAATTTATTAGTATATTTACAAAAATAAAAATGGTTTCATTTAGTCCTTTTAAAATATTTATTATTCCAAAAATTCCAATTTCTACTTTAATATAAAAATAGGCTTTAGTTGTTATTATATTTTATGATTAATTATCATATAAACACTTTAAGAGGAATTGCTACAGAGTATAAGCCAGTTTTGTTTGAAGATTTATTCTTTGATAAGAGTCATTTGAGCACTAATAAAATTGGTGCTATAAGTCTTTAGAATCTTGAATAATTAAGACATGATCCAAAATCTATAATGGATAATTTAGTGATTAATGATGTAACACAATTAGTACATGAATTGTAAAATATGCCATAATGTCTTATATGCACATCATGTAATGATTTTGATAAATTAAATCGATTACTTTAATATTGCCATCATATTGATATAGCTATTGGATATTAACACAACATATCAAAATAATTGAATAATCTACCTTTGTATTCAGTTGATAATCTAATAAAGAAATTAGAAATGGAAATAACAATGGGAACTAATAATTTAAAACCAGCATTTATAGGAGTCATCAATTTTGAAGAAATAGATTTCAATAATCAAATTTGGATTAATATAATGGAGAGTTATATCTAATGTTCTGAAAATTGTGGAATACCAATTGTAGTTGATCATAATCATAAATTAGAATTTAAGGAGATACAACAAAAATATAATATAAGAAAAGCAAAATTCATTATTTTGAATCCATATATAGAAGTCAAAATTACAAAATCTAATTATTGTATTAGAAGAGAAATTAATATTGATTCAATAGATTTAAAATAAAAGATTGTATTCAATAAAAATGAAGTGGATTATGAATTATATAATTTATTGCCTGTCTATTTTACAATTGGAATTAAGTATAAAACACATTTGAGAATGTTTGGAGGTAATGGATTTGAGATTTTGAAATCAGAAACATAAGAATTATTTGATCTATTAAAGTGGTCTAGTTAAATTACTAAGTTAGTTGAAATAAAAATGTGGAAATGTCCTATGTAATGAAATTGAATTTAAGATTAGTTGTTAAAAAGAGTAAGGAGAGAATGAAGAGAGATTTAAGAAAATGGGAAAAGAGTTCTGTAGTATGAAATGTTTGAGATAAGGATTGAATTGATTCATTAAATAAATTATTAGTCGTTAAATTTTAAATTATATAATGGATCAGAAGACTGAAAAGGCTCTACTCGAATAATAGAATGAATTATTAGAGTTATAGTTATAAGAATTAAAAGAGAGGGAAAATGGATACAAAATATTTAATGAAACAATTCTAAATGCCTATAATTCTATGCAAAATGATGTTAATAAATAAAATGTAAAGATAAAGTCCTATGCTTGTAGAGTTTAGTGTATAAATAGTTATAATAGACTTTGGAATAATATTCTCAAGAGTTGATAGAATCTAAAAATAGGAACACTATGGTTCTATCTTAATTAGAGAAGGAGAATCGATACTTAAAAAACTATTTAGAATAATTAGAAATAAAGATCTAAGAATAAACTTAATAGTAGGAAAATGAACTTTCTGATTTGGAATAACAATTTGAAACTATCTAATTATAGTAAGAAAGTACTACTGTTTCTAAACCTAAAAAAAAGAAGCCATCATAAAATAAAGAAAATAATAAACCTGAATAAACAAGTGGAGGTTGTATTGTGTCTCTTAAACCTAAAAATGATGAAAATAAAAAGAAGGAATTATGCATAAGCAATGTATTAAATTGTAAAGATTCAAATGTGATGGAAATATCTCATTTAGATTGGTTAGATTCAAATTCTCCAACTGGTTTATTCAAACAATTTCAAATACATTAAAGAGGACGTGATCGTTCTGATCATTCATAAAGGATACAATAACCCTAATTATCTAAAAGAATATTTAGAGATTAAGGTAGAAGTGAAGATTCTGTAAGTCCTTAATGTATAAGGAATGCTACTCCAAAAAATAATTTTATTACTCCAGAATCTAAATAATTAAAATATGATTTACAATAGGGTTTCATAAATAAAGCTGAAATCAATTAATAAAAGCCAGAGAAGAGATCTTTAGCAGAATTTACTAAATAAATTAATTCTGTTAGATCAACTGAGAATTTCTAAATGATCCTCAGATAAAGTTCTATGGTTTGATATAATTTTTTAATGATTTTTCATTCATTATAATCTATTTCAATTTAAATGTATCCCTTATTTTAGATCATTTTAATGAAAAAAAGTTTTTGAATGTCCTTCCACCTCTTGTTGAAATAACAGTCAAAAGCTTTTAATCAATATAATTTCTATACTACATTTAGTCTTTATGAAGCTAAAAAAATAGCTGAAAGTTCTGATGATTTATAAGAATATATTATACAATTTATGGTAGTTGATGTACCATTAGTTAAACTTAATCAATAATTCTAATAATAACCTGAAAAACATAAATCTGCATAGCTTTTAATAAGTATGGTAGATATGGCTAAAGGAACAATCAATGAATGGTATACTTTTCAACATTAACAAATTGATACAGATATATTTTAAGAGAAAGGTAAATTTATCAATTTTAGTATTAGTTGATTTGTTGTGTTATAATTTCTAGTTATAATAAGTCCTAAAATTGTTGCAGTTTATGTTAACTTATTTGATATTTATTTTATACAAAAAAAATTTAAATCTATGGTATATATGTATGTTTATAAACATCAAGAGCAAAATGAGTAGGCCAGCATCTTGCAAAAGTAGAAAGAGTGAAGTAGATGAATCACTTTTTGGTATAAAATTGATCCATATTACCTAATAGGAAGTAATAAAAGAAATGATGTTAAAACTGCTAAAGTAGTTTAGAGCGTAAGGAAGGGAGACACATCAAATCCAGATGTTGTTTTAATAGGAGAAGCAGAATTATAGAGAATGAAAGTTTGTTTCATTTTAAACTTTAGAATAATGCTATTGTGAAAACTAAAGAGGAACAATTATATTAGAAGAAACTATTGGAGGAACAGAAGGAAAAACAAATGACAGCAGCTAAGGCTAAGAAATAGAAAATGATATAATTGGAAGAAGAAAAAAAGAAACAAATTCCTTTAACAGCATAATAATAAGAAGATAAAGTAGTTAAAGATAGTCTTAATGCAAGGGTATCAATTTATATTTGAATTTAGGCTGCAGAGATATTGAATGAACAATTAGATGATGTTAAAGAGATGAATAAGATGGTTATGTATGCTAAATGTGTTACAATCAGAGATAAATAATTATAAGAAAAACAATAATTGAAAGAAGAATTTAAAATTTAAGAGAAAAGAAAAGATCTTATGATGGAAATTGAAAGACTTTAATCTATTAAATATTATGAAGAAAAAGATGTTTAACATAAATAAGAATTGAAATAAGGTCATGGCATTATTGTAGAATAAATTAAAGAAAGAGAATTGATTAGACTTAAAGAAAAAGAAGAATAGGAAAGAGAAGGTTAAGTTATGATTAAATAAATTAAATAAGTTTAAATTGAAGATCAATAAAAAAATCAATAAAGAAAGCATATGTAGAAGAAATTACAAGATGAAATTTTAGAAGCTAATTAAAAAGCCATTGTTGTTAAAGAAAAAAGAAGATTGGAAGAAAAGGAAGAAGAAGAGAAAATTGCTAAATATAATCTAGAAAAGGCATAGAAAGAAGCTGAAATAATAGAGGAATAGAGAAGAATTAAAGAAGAAAGAGAGAGAGATGTTTAAAGATTAAGAGAAATGCAAGAAAAAGCTTCAGATAGATAAGCTGAATTAGATTTATTAAGAGCCAAAAGAGCTATGGAATAAAATGAAAGAGCTGCTAGAGAAAAAGAAAGAAGAGAAGCAGAATTAAGATAAAAATTAAATTCAGAATTATATTAAGCAAGAAAAGTTTAGTAGAATGAAAAATAAGATAAATTAGAAGAATAAGTATTTTAATTTATTATTAAATCAAGGCTAGACTAGAAAGAGATGAATTCTAAAGGGTTATTTAAAAATAAAAACAAGAGCGTGAGAATGAATTAAGATTACAATAAGAAAAAGAATAAATGGTCAAAAAACATGCAGAAGAATTGAGAAAATAGATATCAATGAATGAAGAGAAAAGAAAGTAAGAAGAAAGAGATAAGTATAAATTTAATATTATTTTTAAAGGCTTGAAGAAGGTAAAAAGATTAGAGATAAAATGATAAATGAAAAGAAATTATTAGAAAATATTAAGGAATAGAAATTAAAAGGACTTAATGATAATACAATACCTGATAAATATAAGGCTGAATTAGCAAAAAAGAAAATCAATATACAAATATGATTAATAACAGAATACACATAAAAACTATATATTAATTCTTTAATATATTTATTTTAAATCAATTGATTTTGAATGATTTGTGTATTGTTAAAGCTTTAGCAAAATCGGTTCCATCCAGTTCTGCAATTTTTTATTTTATCTATTCTTACTTAAGTCTCTATTTAAAAATTGCATTATAATTAGTTTTGTATGCACTATTTATTTAATATCAAATTAATTACTTAATGTCTGTTCCTGCCTTATCTACTCTAATAGGATTTGAAAGTTTCCAATCTGGCTTATATTCATATTTTACTCTAAATTATAATGATATACTAACTTCATTTCTGTTTTTGGGACTAATTATGCTTTAAATCTACTAAAGAGAGCTCTTAAACAATTTAAAACTAATTCTTAAAATTCTAATTCATCATTCATTTCAATCCAATTATCTAAAAATAATTTAGCTAAATCATTAAGAGGTTAAGCAAATTCTAATTCAGAGCATTTCTTGAATTTGAAAACATTATTTTATGGCTTTAATAATTTTTGTAAATATCCAAATTCTGTGCCATAAGTTGTAGAAGTTTAATTTTTTCTATGCATTTCTTCAGCTTTCTTAAAACTGTTATATAATCATAAAATAATATTACTCTAACTCCTATTGATCAGTTAGTTCTTGTAATTGAACTGTGGGAGGTTTAGCTCTATTATATAAATAAGAATATGAAACCTAAATAGTTTTCTTCCCTTATGTTTATAAATTGCACCAATTAATTATAGTCCTCTGGCTTCTTTTTCACTTGCTATGTAAATCCAATCTCTATAGTAGTTCAAGTATTCAGGTTTAATGATATTTGTTAAAATTGCAAACGGTTCCATTCTTAATGTTTTATCAAATATTAAATAATTAATTATTATTCCACTCTAATTATATATATATAATCAATACTATATATAAAAATTTTAATATTTTTATTCATAAATGAAAAATGAAAAATGAAAGATTGATTATTTATAAATGAATTATCATTTAAAATGATATTTTTTATATTGATTCTCTTTTTAATAGTATATTTGAAATATGATATATATTGAAATTGTGTTTTATAATAAAAAATACATTCTCAAAAATCAAAGTCATTATTGGAAAAAGAAATCATGAGGTAATACTTTAGTATTTGTAATATAAGTTATTTTTGGTTTGATCCTTTAAGTTTTTTTAGGTGGTTCATTATTTACTGAGAGTATTTCTTTTAATTCCATTGTATTTAAGAGTAATAAATCTAATATATTTTCATCATATATTTATTCATTCTAAAATTAAGATTATGTTTTTATGGTTTAAATTTTATTTTCTTGTTAGCAATTATTAATGTTATTAATTTGTTTGCTTAAATCAAAATGATTAATCTTCTTAGATCTTGCACTTTTAATTTAAGTAAATCTGTTAGTGCTATTCTATAATAATATAGATAGTTATTACATTTAATTAAAAAGGCTCAAAATCTAGAGATCCATGTTTATGATGACAAAGTTTAAATTTTTTTAGATTTTTGCTTGTAACATTTTAATCAATTGATTTTCTTGTAGAAATTAAAGTAGTTCTTTTATCTTATTCTGGTATTTGCCATAACTTGATGTTATCTGAATTATATTTAAAATGCTGAATAGGAGATGATTGAACTTTATTTTTCAATATCTCATGAATTTTTTAGCGGTTTTATAATATAGGCTAATCTTTGATAGAGGTCATAAGTCAAATAAAAATTAAATTATCAACTTAAAATACATTTATCAAAATATAAAGAATAAATTGATATAGTATACAATCAATATTTGATTAAAATTATTAATATATAACATATTTATTTATAACAATTTTTATATATTCTCATTAAATTAAAGTTAAGAGTATGTGATTGAACAAATAATGTGCTTATAATTAACTGATAAAATGAAATAAATTAAATATTATAAAATAATAATACATAAAAAAATACCAAAATAAAAATTATTTTTCAAATTAGAATGAATATTATAATTCAAAATTTGATAAATTAATCACTTCCCAGAATTATATATATTTCTTTTGTAATATTTCTATTCATAATATATATATATATTTAAATTAGGGTAGTGGAAATACTGTTTCATTATAATTATAAAAGAATTAAATAAACTTTAATATAAGATCTTTCATTTTTAGTAGAACCAATTATAAATAATGTTTTTTCAAGGGACATAAGTTTAATCTGGTAATAAATAAATCCAATTAGGAAATTTAATAAAATCTATTACAAAATCTTCTTATTAAATCTATAGAATTGATATATTTACTAATTTAAAGTATCAAACTACAAAATAATTGAATCCATCTTATTATGGATAATAAAATATTGAATATTTCAAATAATTCTATCCTAAATAAAGTTTGGCAGGTCTAACTAAATAAATTTTAGAGGTAGGGTCTCAATAATTGTGATAATTATTAGATTTACAATTTTGTCCATTTATTTGATATTTTAAACATTTTACTCACTACAAATTGTTTTGATAGCCATTTAGATTTCTAATTGAACTGTATTTTACAAATTTTATTTTAATGAATCTAAATATACCTTAACTTAAAGGTGGTTATGGAAATTTGAAGTCTTTAAATCCTCTTGATCAATTGGCTAAGGAAACAGAGGAGGATGTAAGTGAAATTGATAGATTGTAAAAAAGACTAAATGAATAGTAGTAGTAAGTTGATGCATTAATGAAAGTTGTTTCAAATTCATAATAATAAATATATTTATCACAAGATAGATATAAACATACTATTGAAAGTGAAAGATTTAACAGTTAATTACTTGATGAGATAAAGAATCTAAAGAAGCAACTTAAATAAATTGAAAGTGGTCCAAGACTACCTTAAGCACCTTTTATGCCTCCATTCTTGCCTCAATAATAATATCCCTTTAGTTATCATTTACCAAATAATTAAATGGCTATGCCATATCCAATACCAAATCAAAATCCTTACTATCAGTTTTATCCATTTTAAAATATGCCTTTCCAACAACAACCTTAAAAGGAAGAGAGAAGTTTTAGTAAAATATTGAAAGGTCTTGCTAAAAAAAAGGAAGAAGAATAATTAAATCAGATAATGTTGTAATTGTTAAAAAACTCATAGAATGATCCAGATAATGAACATCAATAAAAATAGAAATCTAGAAGAAATTTAAAAGTCAAACATAAATCTCATTAAGATTCTTCTGATTTTTAATTTAGTAAGAGTTCCAGATATGAATAGGAATCATAAGAACATATGAAAAAAAAGTAAAATAAGAAATAATCCATTAAACCTTAAGAATAATAATTACCATTATTAAATTAAAGTTCAAAACTTAAATTATAACCTCTTAGAGTAAAACCTACACCAGAGAGATTAAAATTATTAAAGAAAAAGTTTAAATATTGTGCATGGATGGTTATATTTTATAAAAACAAATATTATTAAATAATGGAGAAAAAAGCAATCAAAAGATTTGAAGATGAAGTCGGTCTATATGATGATTAATTTGTAAATATTTATTTATTATATTAGTAATACAACAATGCAATATCATAATTTGTTAAAGAAGGTCAAAAACTATCTTTATTTAAAAAATCATGGGTTTTCACTGAAAAAAAAGATGTTCCAACTCGTATAAATAATTTAATTTAAGCAGCAGAAACTTTTATTAAATAATTAATTATAGTAACTTAAATAATGAAATTTGATCAAAAACATATATCATATATTAAAGCATTCACTACAAATGATGGTTATTTATTTCCAGCACATTCAGCTTTTGTAGCATAAAGATTATAATTAAATTATAAAAGAAAATTAAAGTATTTTATTATTTATATTTTAGATTTACTTCTAAAGATCAATAAAGAATGGCCTTTTTAGAATATACCTATGTACAATTACTTTTATATGAATAAATATTTTCTGTTAGTGGTTGGTAAGATTTGCTAAAACCATTTGCAGAACCATTAAAATTATTAGTTTCTCTACTATAATATTTATTTGTAGACAAATTCAAAAATCTATAGATCATTTCAAAAAACATGAAATTTAATGTAAATAATATTTTATTACTAAAATCAGATTGAATAAGTTCCTATCTTAGATTTTACTAAACGTAATGTAGCTGATATAAAATATTCAATCAATCAGAATGATCCTAAATTTTAAGTTACTGATAAATTCCCAATACTTGGATTATATGATGAAACAGTATTGAAACCTGTAATTGAAAGTCCTGGATTTGCTAATCTTTAAAATCAATTTAAAGTTTTTGTTGAGTATATATATTCTAAATTAGAATGAAATGAATACATAAAAATACTTGAAAATTAATTTTATAAAATAATAAATAATTGATGAATATAGGATAAATATATTCTTTCATTTCCAAATAGGTTATATTTGTATGGCTGTTAGTATTCATCACTCCACTTTACATATTTATGGCAAATATTTTAGCTAAAGGAATTTAATTATTATACAATATGGCTATTAATAAATAATCATTAATTAACTATTATATAGGTGATATAAGTTGGCTGTTTCCATTTAAAGTATATCTACTCAATTAATAATAAATAGTAAAATGAATAAGAATTCAAATTGATTCATACATTATTCCTAGCAATATTAATTGCTGTTGCTTCTCTTATTGTACTTGGAGGAGTATTGTTGCTTAATCTTATTGAATAAAATAAACTATATAATGAAAAAAGAAAAAAAAAACAAAAGAGAAGGAAAACAGAAACCCAATGATGTGTATTTTTTATTAAATTATTTAAAACATTATTAATTTGTATAATAAAACTTAATATTATTAACATTTTTGACTGTATATATAAATCAATTCCCTTGAAGCATTTCCTCTTACATTTACTTTTTTATTCTTTCTTATTCTAATTAATCTAATCTTTATTATTCCTCTCTATCTCTTAAAATATCTTCATTGAGATCTGTAAATTATCTTTTTGCCCATTTCTCTCTAGATAAATATTCACATTCAACTGTTTTATCACCATACATTCTACCAGCTAAATATCTTCTAGCTGTTCTAGCTTCTTATGTCTTTTCATATTCTACAAATATTTTTCCAACACCAATAATTATTTTACCAAATTCAGGTCTTGGAATAATAATATTTTTAACAGTTCCAAATTTAGAACATTCTTCTTTTATATCTTCCATAATATCATTAAATTCTTCATCTATTGTAACCTATATATTTGTATAAATATTAAACATCTTCAAGAGTAAGGACATTTTTGATAACTAAAATATTAGTAGGTATTTACACATATCTGGCCATTAACTTAAGTGGTCTAAAACTAATAAGTGAAGATGGATCCTTATCATTTCCTTTCATACTACTCAAAGGATTAACTTAATTTATTAATACACTATTACATGCTTATTCACTCATCATTTATTAATTTACAGCTGCTAAAGAAGTCAAAAAAGACTTTGGTCTACCTATTTTCAATTAATGACCTTTAAAGATAACATCCTTCAATATAAATCCTTATGTAGCTTCTTCAGGTGATCTAAATTCAATAAAACCAAAATGTCCTAAATAAATAAATCTCTAAATTAAACCATTCGAATCTATCCAACAATTACAAATTGAACCTGCATGTTCAGAACTAACTCCCATCTTTAATAATGTTTAATTCAAAAAATCTTAGAGCTATATTTGATATATCTATAATACTTCTTTAGGTTGACTATTTGGTGGCAAATTTCCAACATAGAGTTTTCTATCAGCCTTTACATCTGCTTAAGCTCTTAATTATTATAATCTTTGCATTTAAATTAATGGTGTCATAGCTTAAAGTGCTTCTAATGAAGCTAAAGGATTTTAAAGAGGATTTGCAGGAAGTATAGCTAAATTCATTTCAATTTAATACTCTCAAACTCTCCCAAAGATACTTGATCTATTAATTTACTCTTAAAATTTGAGAAAGGAGTATTCTATAAAGGATCCTTTGGTGGAGAATCAAAACGAAATCTTCCAATTTATTTAATTGAAAATACCCCCTTGATTATTCTGCATTTGTTTTATTTTATGTCTTAGGTTTCTAAAATTCTTCTCTCTTTCTATCTTTCTCCTTACTCACATTTCTTGATCTTTTTTTACCAACATCTGATTCCTATATTCATTAATTGATATGCAATTACTTTTTTTTCCTTTTTTTCCTTCTTTTCTTTCTTTTCTTTTTTCTCTTTTTTATCCTTCTTATCTTTCTTCTCTTTCTTTTCTTTCTTGTATCTTATATGAAAACAATAATATACTTTTCAGAACCCATTTAATAAAAAATTAAATAATAAAAATATCAATTAACTAATTTCTCAACTAATCCCTCAACTAAATTAATTATTATTGGCTTCAATTTCACTAAATATACTTTCCACACCTTATAATTCAATTCTAGATCCAATTAAAATATAGTTTCCTCCTTTGTTTACTTATCATACAATTTCTCCACTTTTGATTTTACAAATTGAGCTATCCTTATTGAATTTATCACTTCAATATTGTTAGAATAAATTGGTATATCTTATAAAAGATTTAATCCTAAATCCTATGGTTACAGAATTATTATTCCATCAACAACAATCACTACTACTTATACCTATACTTATCTTTCTTTCTATTCTGATTTTTCAGATAGCATATAAGGTTAGTTTTCTCTCAAATAAGTTTATGTATTTCTTTTTTAAAAAAATTATTAATTTAATAATTGATACATTAAATTAGCATAAGTGTCTTTTGGATAATTCTTTAAAATAATTTCAAGACCATCAAAGATGAAATTATCTATATCATCCCAATTTGGATTTTAAATATATAATACATATTGTTTTTCAAATTTTGAATTTGTTTTATTATACAATAATTATTTCTTTTTTGTTATATTAATTTTAACTTTGTCCTCAATTTAATTAATTATCTTCTTTGCTTAATCTTACAAATATCCTTTAGGAATGTTTCCTACATAATCTTTATATTAAGATAAACTCTCTATTAAATAATCATTTGTGAATGAAAATGCTGCTTTGAAATCTGACTCAACTATCTCACCATATAGATCATCAGCCTCTTTTTTTTATGGCATATAATGACAACTAATTTAATAATCTGATGGTAAATGATTAAGATTCTGATTTTCTAAATCTTTTAATTATTTTATTATTTGATTAACTTGGTCTCTTTGATCCAAAACAGATAATAAACAAAACATAATAAATTTAAAAGAAAATGGAAATCTGGATTATTTTTCTGATAAATAATAATGTGTACATTCTGGATATAGAGCAATAGTTCTAATATCATAGGGAAGCTATTTTAATTCATTATGAATTTATTTTAATTATTTAAGTGAACAAATTTAATCAAATAAATATAGTATTTGATTATCATTAACCTAATTAATTTTACTTACTATTTTAACTCCTTCACACATTTTAATAATATGTTAACAAATTTCATCATAACCCATTCCATTGATACCTACTGGAATTAAGACAATAATAGTAGTTTATGGTTTTAAACATTAAGCAAGAGACAATTCATAATCTAATTTTTATGGTATATTAGTTAATTTTTTATGAACACAATTAAAAACAAGAGTTGACAATTAAAGAAAGTTATAGCTTTTTCTTTAATTAAATGGAATACTAAACATGAGGTTTAAGCATTTTAAATAAAATTCATATTCTTATTGATTTAAATTAAATGATGATAAAAAATTTGGAGGTTAATTCATATAAAAGTTTGATTTAGAATTATTTATGTAAATTTTGATTTGCCTTAAAATTTCAAAATGTTTAGAAGGAATATAACAATTTCCTAAATATTTATCATCTTTCCAAAAATAAATTGTTTTTCCTTTATAATAATCATGATATTTATCTATTATTTGATTATATATTTAATCATATATTGATGGAAAATTTATTAGATTTGTTTATTATTCATTTGATTTAGCAATCTCTAAATTATAATAATTAAGAAAATTCTTAACAATATTGGGTGATAGTATTCTTTATAACTAATAATGTTCCATAATTGTATACCATTCAATAAAATTTGATGAGTTTCTACATCCAACTAGACTTCTATTTATAAGATCCTTAGCAAAGTTGATCTATTGATTATAATTCATTTTTGAATGTATATTAAAGAATAATATAGCTACTTTACAAGCTCTTTCATAGCCTTATATCTAGTTATATTTAGAAATATCATTCTTATCTTCACATATTATTGTTTATCCACTTGATGAAATAATAAATGATTTTAAGAATTCACAAAAACTTACACTAACTGTATAAGAATTGTGTCTGATCTCTTAAACTGTAAAAGTTTTGTCTAAATTCCTTACAATAAATTTATAAAGATCATCTTAATTTTTTAAATTCTTCTCATTTAATGTAATTGCATATGGAGATCCCATTGTAGCTATAATATAATATCAATTTACCAATTTAAGTGTCTACTTTCCCTTACTTGATAATTTATAAAAATGAGTTTTCAGTCAATAAATGATCTTAAAAAAATGGATTCTTAAATATTGAAACATTGTTTAATTTTTATTCATTTGCACACACTTCAATTACATAGGTTGACTCTTTTTAGAATTCGTTCCTAAGCGAACTTATTTCTAACTCACTTTACTTCTCAAATTCTTATAGTCTGATATATAGATTCAATTGAATTACAAGGCATAAGCGCTTAATTATTACATTATTTATAATAATATAAGAATAATAAATATTTGTAGGAATTAGTTTATAAAACTAAAAACAATGTGATTTATTTAATTAATTAAGTAATATATAAAGGCTTAAAGTAAAAAAATGAAATATTAGATTAATCTTGTAATTACAATATCATAAGCAGGAATATGATTATTTGTACTAAGAACATTTATAAAAGCAAGAATGATAAGAGAAAGTTCAATAAGTGATGAGAATATTAAGAATGCAATAATTGAGGATGTGTTTTTATATTAGAGAGGAAATTTATTTGTAGCTGATAATTTTTACTATTACTATATTAGATATCCATTTAGGAACTATGCATGTAATTACAATTAATATTATTGTGAATATTTGATATTGAAGGAAAATAGGAAACCTAAGAAAATTAAGATAAAATTATGAATAATAAATACTTTTGAACATTTTATATTTATAAATTAAATTTTAGAATAAAACTTTATATTATGAATTTAAATCATTTTTATTTCTCAATTATTTCAAATATAATAAAAAGCTTTACTTTTTAAGATTAAAAGAAAGAATATTGTTAATAAATTTTGGTTATTTAAAATAGTAATTATATATGTCAATTAAATTAAAGATCAATACTATAAATGTTTTTCATCGCTTACTCCAGAAGATCTTTTAGAAAGAATCATCGGATAAGATTCTCTATCTAAATATTCTTCATCTTTTTTAATATCTTCTAATTATGGAGCCACATGAAGATCAAAATTGTTGTGTTCTTCTGTAGGTTTCTATAGAGGTGTCAATTATTCTGTCTTAGATATTTTTTTTGGCATAAAAATTATAAAGGGATGTTATAATAATTACTTAGCTTTCCATCTTTTTTTATGATCAAATTAAAGACATTTATCTAAGAAATCCTTTAGATTTGAAGATATATTAATAGGAATAGGCGGTGAACATTATTTGGAAGAAATGGTTAATAATGCTTACATAGGAGATTGAAATCTTCCCCAAGGAGGTTTGCCAGTTAACATTTCTATGATTGTACATCCTAGACTCCAAATATCTGAGTATCTTCCTGTTTCTTAGGAATTGATTACTTCTGGAGCCATCCAATTGGGAGTCCCCTTTAATGAATAAGCATTCAATCCTATGATACTGCATCCAAAATCTGCGAGTTTACAGACTCCTTTGGTATCAACTATTATATTTGCACCTTTGATATCTCTATGAATGATTCCTTTATTATGTAGATAAACAAGACCATGGAGTATATCTGTGACATATTTCTGAATGACTGGTTCTATTAGATTGAACTTAAATTTCTTCATCATATGTGTTATGGAGCCACCTGATTTGATAATGCACACTGGTACCTCCTACATATTCTAATAAAATGCTCAAATGATGTTTATCCTCATCACATCCATAATATTCAACTATGTTTTTATGCTTCAATTGTTGAAGTATTTTAATTTCTTAATGAAACGATTCTAAACTTTCTTTGTCCACATAACCTAATTCAATTTATTTTACAGCTAATATTCTTCCTGTCTTTATATCCATACATTTATAAACTCTCCCAAAAGACCCTTATCCTATCAATTCTCCTTTTTTCCATTAAATTTTTACAAGTGACTCAGTATGATGAAAATGTTACTCTGGCTCTGAATCATAACCATCAGAGTTGTTCTATACTAATATTTTTGATCTGTGTTATGAAATAGATCCTGAATTTTGTTATTAATAAACTCTTGATTCTTTTCCTCTAAAGTATTTACAAAACCTTGAAATATATAAGCCCATTTTTATTAATAATAAAATAACATCTATTTATATTACATTAATTTATTCAATTATTAATGCCAATTTTATTACAAACCAAAACTATAACAATACTAATTCTACATATATACACATATTCATATATAATTTATAATCAAATAAATTAATTTCAAAGGCATATTTTATAGTACTTCACATATATATACAAAAAATAATTAATGAATTTATTGCTTGAAATATACATTCATATAGATATGGATGCATATTATGCTTAAGCAGAATAGAAATTATTAAAAATACCAGATGATTAGCCTCTTTGTGCAAGATAATGGAATACTTTGATAGCAATCAATTATCCTGCAAGAGCTGCAGGTATTAAAAGAGGCATGTTATCTGATGAAGCACTAAAATTATGTCCAGAAGTATTTTTACCTCATGTTGAAACTTTCAAAATTTCAGATGGTAAAATGATCTTTTCAACAATACAAGACAAGTACACTTAACATAATCAAAATGAAGAAAAAATTAGTCTAAGATATTATAGAGAAGAAAGTAAATTGATTTTTGCAATTATTAAGTAATTTTGTGGTTGTATTGAAAAAGGCGGTACTGATGAATGTTACATATAAGTAAGTGAAAATGAGTTAGAAAAAATTGAACATAATCAATTTGTTGGTAATCTTATGTGTGACTTACCATCAGATTATAAATTAACTGAATAAGATATCTAAATAATGAAGGCCTCTATATTATGTTAATAAATTAGAGATACAATCTATAAAGAAACATAATATAAATGTAGTGCTGGAATTTCATTTAATAAAATGCTCTCTAAACTTGCATCTTCTACTAATAAACCTAATAAATAAACTATTATTTTAGAATGTATGTTACCTGAATGTATAGCTTAATTTAATATCAAAAAAATAAGAGGATTTGGTGGCAAAATTAAACATTCTTTTATTAATAGTGAAATTTAAACTATTGGTTAAGCTTAGCAATTATCTCTATAATAATTAGAAGTATTATTTGGAGATAAGGCTCAATATGTTTATGATAAATTAAGAGGTTATGACAATGAAGAAATCAAGAAAGAATCTGAACGCAAACATAAATCCATTCTATCGTTAAAGAATATCAAAAAAACATTCTCTAGAGATACTATTATTTAATCTTTAGAATTAATAATACATGATCTTACAATGAGAGTAACTGATTACTTTGAAGATACAAATCTCGTTCCATCAGTAATAGTTCTTCATTATCATAATGTTGAGAAAGGTTCTCATTAAAAAAGTGAACCTGTTTACTTAACTCTTCCAATAGATAGTTTCAGATTATAAATTGAGGATAGAGTTAATTCTATTTTAAATTCTATTTAAGATAATGAGCTCTTTCCATTGATAACTATTGGATTAAGTTGTAGATACTTTAAACCTATGGCTTAGGGTATCTAAAATCCAATAACTAGTTATTTTAAAAAAGTAATAGAAAGTTAAGAATAAGAAAAAATGTCAAAATTTATTGAAGAAGTATAAAAGGAATTATCTCCTTAAGATTATTATAATTGTGAAATTTGTAAACAAGAGATACTGAAAACATTGAAAGATGAACATAATGATTTTCATATAGCTGAAAATTTAGATAAAGAAATGAATCCAAAAAAAAGAAGATATAAAAGTTAAACTTAAAATAATAACAAACCTTAATAACAATAAGTAAATTCTTAAATTGACTAATTTATGAAAAAATCTTGATACTATAATTTTTATTTATAAAAAATCTTATAATTATTTATATCATAATATTCATTTATAAAATATGTATCATTTGAATAGATGATTGAATTTAAAAGTTTATTTTAGAAACTATAAAATATTAAATTCTTTCTGATATTTTTTACTAAAAATTTGAATTTCAAATGTTATACTGAGCAAATAATATCAAAATTCAATCTTAGAAGAATAATTAAATTTTATTATGTATTAGACAAGTTAGCTAATTAACCGTCGACCCAACATGAGATAATTAACTGGTAGGGCACGTGACATCTAAGATGATGATGACGATGATCCTGGCATCTCTAGTTTTGCAAGAAGCAAAGTCGATGATGATGATGAAAAATTCAAAAATCAAAACAGCGATCCTGATTTTCTTGATAGTCTATTGAGAAAAAAGAGTAGAAATGACTCCAAAGTAGATAAAGTAAATATACTTTAATAATGTCTAAGTCCAATAATAGTTCAATTATACCTAGTACACCACCTCCCTAAAGTACAAGTAAAAAGAGTGATCAAGAAATATCAAATACAGATCCAAAGAAAGGATAAGCATAAACATAAAATAATTCAGGAAATAAGGATACACCCTAATAATAATAATAATAAAAGCAATCATAATAAACTCCTGCAAAACCCAATACTACTCAGCCATTCTAAACTCCAGATCCAAAATAACAATAACCTTAATAAAAGACTCCTGCATAATAACCATCATAAACTAAAACACCTTAAGCATAACCTCAACCATCATAGTAATCATAAACCCCACAATAAACAAAGACTCCTTAATAAACCAAAACCCCTCAATAATAACCCACTTAATCATTAACTCCAGCTACAAATAAGACATAATAGAATCAAAAGTAAACTCCTGCTCCTGCACCAAAAGAAATAGTAGATCCTACAAAATCAATTTCAAATAAACCTTCAGCAAAAAAAGAAGAACAAAAGAATTAATAACCACTACCTTAACCAGAGTAGCCAAGTAAGGTTCAACCACCTCCAAAAGTTGAATAACCAACTAAAATTGAATAGCCTTCTAAAACTGATTAATCTAACAAGGGAAATTAAAAACAACCACAAAATCAATAACCTTAATAAAATAGAATTGATTAAGATAATTAATAATAAGAATAAGGACCATAAGTTTCTGAAAATAGACCAAATTTTGTTAGGAGAGGAAAGAACATTTAGAATGTTAAAGATGTTGCTAAAAATATCAAAACAATACCAGAGGATAGAATTAAAGCTTTAGAACCAAAGAACAATATTGAAGTGAGTAAAAAATTATCATTGAAATTTGCACCATAAAAAGAATATACAGATTCAACATTTCCTCCTAATGATTTATAAGTATTTTAAGTGTTTGGCCATGGTTAAGTTGATTTTAAGAGGTTTAATCTTGGAAGAGAATAAGATACTCATTAAGTAGTTGATCCAAATGATATAGTACCTGGTTAATAATCAAGTACTCTAATGTAAGTATTGGCTGCTATTGCTGAATAACCATAATTAATTACTAGAATTCTGGAAGATCAAGTTATTAACGAATTTGGATTTTATTATGCTAGATTATGTATAGGAGGTGTATGGAAATATATCTTAGTTGATGATTTGCTTGGTTATTTTAAAGGAGAACCAATTGGAGCAAGGACAACAATTGATAATAATAAATTAAAGTATTATTCATTATTGATTAATTAGATCATTACAAAAATCCAATCCTGGGTATTAATCAGAAATGTGGCCATTCATTATTGAGAAAGCATTTGCAAAAGAATATGGAAGTTATGAAGATGCATTTAAATTTGCTACAGTAGCTGATTTTCTTTAAGAAACAACAGGAGCACCTACTACTGTTGAATAAATAAGTGAAAATGTTTTGAAATCTTTGACATAGAATGATGTTGCTCTAGTACATTTAGCTGATGGAATTTTCACATACTTAAGTTAAGATGGTAAAGATGTAACTCTACGTAATCCTTGGGGTTGGGTCAAGAATTAACCAAGTACTGCTTAACCAGAAGGGGAATTCAAAGTTCCCATAAAAAACATTTTAGGTAAATAAATCACAATTTCTAAATGTGTTCCTAATAATTACCATATCAGTTATAATTTGAAAGCAAATAATGATGCTTATTCATCATTTTATGTGGATGTACGTTAAGATACTGTTGCTACCTTTAGATTACATTAAAGAGATGAAAGATATTTTAGAAATAATATATCTAAAAAATATGATTATTGTTTTGCAAGATTATTAGTATTTGATGAATAATAATAATTAATTGCTGAGGATTTTGGGTAATTTAAAACATTAAATGTTAATGTTAATTTATAAAAGGGTAAATATACTATTGTAATCCTTTTGGATTTCTTAAATGAATAATTATATGATAGCACATTGACTTTCTATGGAACTTAATCAGTTGATATTAGTAGAATTAATTATAGGTAGTAACCTAATTTATTGGCTTAATTATATACTTAAGTGGCAATTAGCAAGGGTTAAAAAAAATAAAATGGATAAGTTGATGAATTTACTTATGTTTCTGATAACAAATTAACTATTTTAGCTTGGAAGTATAATGGAACTCAGCCTAATAAGTGGAGCAAAGATTTAAGCAAATAGACTAATAGAAATAATATGAAACCTATTACATTTGTTAATGTAGCAGACACATAATAATTAAAAGTACTCACAACTGAGTAGATTAAACAGTTGAAACTGAGTAGCTGGTAGAATGCATCATCATTCAATATTGAATTCACTTAATAAAACAACACTTATGCAGTTGTATTCAAGTGATTAATTATTAGAATATATAAATATTAATATAATGAATCAATAATAATTGGATAATAATGTACATAAGTAACCAGGATTAGATTCCTTCCTTTAAACATTGTGGTAATCACATCTATTTGGAACAAAAGTTATCTTAACCTTTTCAATAATTCTTGGATTAATTGATTTAGTTACTAATTTTGCTTTTGACATCTTCAATAATTCCCCTAGTTTAACATTACCTTTTTAAATCTAAAGATTATTTTTTGCAAACTTTGTTCATTGTATATATACAAATTAAAAATTTCTATAGATTACAGTATTGATTTGATATTAGCTATAATATGCATTCATAATAAATTAAAAGACTTTGAAATAAAACATGGCACAGTTGCATTCTTTATCATAATTATTATTCTAGGGATTATCACTTAAGTATACAAACAAATATTATTTTAGTCATTATGCCTTATTTTATAATTTATATTTTCTTACATATATCCTCCATTCTATGAAACTGCAGCATATAGTCTATGGAACTTTACTATATTCTTTAAAATTCAAGAGTATTATCAATTATTTTATCTCAAGATGTCTTATGATACCTAATGGATAAAGTTAATTCCTGATTTTTCCGATGTAATTAAAAAATAAATATTACCCTATTGTGTTTGTTATTCTCTTTACATTAATTCAACAATCTTTGACATTTTTTAGTTCATCCATAATTGCCATTATTTACTTTTTATTTAAAAATAGATTTTCCTTTTAAATAGCAGTAAGAATAATTCATTAATTAAGACTATTGAATAATTAGAAAAGGGAATGATTTTTTAATCTTTTATAGATAGAATAGATTTTAAAAGAATTTCTAATTATTAAGATTAATTAGAGCCAAGTGTTGATTCTAGAGAATTACCATATCTTGAAACCCCTCCTGCTAGGTAAAATTAATAAATTATATATTTTTTATAATAGATTAACTATGGATGGAAGTGCTCCATTTCCACCATCTCTTGTATTATAAGAATTGTAGAAGTAATTGAACTTTTAAGATAATTAAAATCATGAACAAGTTTAAGAAGATGAAGAATAAAAATAAATTGAATAAAAACAATAAGAAAAAGATTAAGAATTCGATTAAGATCTTTGAAATTCATGTAAAATCTTTTAATATTTTATCCGTATATATATTTCAAGTTGATAATTTTTTTAACCATAATATTATTTACTATTTTATTTTAATCTATTCTACTAAAATTTTTAAAGTCCACCAAATAATCCAAATACTAATTTAAAATTTATTATGAAAATAATCCTGTAAGTCTCTTAAATAAAGTTTTGTTTCTGATATATAAATATAATTATAAGATTAGAATGCTAAGAGACATCATTTTAGATGCTATATTCAAGTAGAATAAATAAATAAAATAATTTCAATATCTTTATAAATAAAGTACTGATTCAATAATTCATATAAATTTAGAATGGATAAACAAAAAAATATTGTTTTTACTTAAATGATGATAATAATCATTCCAATAATGCTGCTAACTCTTTTTCCATATTATTTTTATTTTATTGTTAATAACTTTATTATTATGCAGGAATTTAATTTGCAGGTACAGTGTTGAGTTATTTCTATAAATTTATTGCTTATTATTATTCATTTTCTTGCATGTATTTTTCAAATTCTGCATCAATTTATTCATTATCAACTCCCATATTGGACATTTATTTCCATAATTCAGATGTTTCTTATTGTGAAGTTTCGAATTCACTATATAATTAAGTTAATCAATACTTCCAATCCATCATAGCATCTTATAATTTATCATTAGTTTCTTATTACATTTTTCCTAATTCAGCTGCATTAAAAACTACATCGGCTATGCCTTAATCTTATTCTAAGGTTTCTATTTAAATTGTCATTTGAGTGAGAACATTATATTTGGTTTACATTTACTCAATTTATTTTTGTAAAGATTTCATTTCTACAATACTAATGTGAATTCTATACCTGTAACTTTATTTCTAGCCTATTGTTTTTTTCCTTAACTAAGTAATGATCTAATTTCTTGATCCAAAGCAGTCACTTTTGAGTCAATTCTATCAATATTGTCTTAGATTTAATCTCTTCTAGATCTAAGATCATGAAGAGTCTTTTCATATTTTAATTTAGCATCTGGAACAGGAGCTGGCTAATTTTTTTTATCACCTCCACCTTTTTTAGCAAAGCCGAACATGTTTTTTATTTAAATATTAATAAAACAAGATTCTAAATTTCGTTCGCTTTATATATACTACTCTAATAATAATATTTAGAAATAATTAATTATTTCTAAATAATCTTATGGAATTTATAGATTCCTTTAATTAATAATGGATATATTAATATAGAATATTATAATATCAATCTTTATTTAATAATCTATGTTTCTTAAAATCTATTTCATAACCTTCTTATTCACTTTCTTCTTCTGGTTAATCAAAAATTATAGTTTTATCACTTGGATATTTTTTATCATTTACTGTAATTTTTCCTCTTACAGTTTTTAATTTTGCAGATCTTTAAGTTACAACAGACTTTGGTTTCATATATGCATTATTCAAAAAGAATTTGAAATCTATTTCAGTTTAAACATCTTATGAATCTGTATACATTCTAAATTTGTAATCCATATCATCTAAAAATAATTTTTTATAAACTAAAAGTTCTTTATTCTCTTTGATTGTTGGTTATAACCAATAATCAGGCATCAATTCATCATCTGATTTAATAACATTTTATTATATGCATCTTAAATCATCCATAAATGAAATGCAATTCAATAATAAGAAAAAGGTTTTCTTGTTCATTTTTGGAGTTAAAATATCATATAATAAAGAATAATCTCTCTCATCTTCTAATTATAAATAACAATTTAATAATATCTCTAATTATTCTGCCATTAATTTTAATCTTTATGTAAAATCATCTTCTCCTGTTAATTCCTTACATTATAAAATTCTCCCAATTGATTATCCAGGAAATTTAGCTAATCTTTTTCTATAATCCATTTTATTTCTTATAAATATCTGAATTCCTGCTAAAATTGTGTTCTTATAAAATCTGTATAATCTACTTACAAATTTGTGTCTAGAAATACTAAAAATCATAATTATATATATTACCCTATCCCTGATACTTTTTAGAATTCTGGTAATGCCAATCTTATTACAGATCTATATTTCATAGCTGTTGTAACTAATAATTTTAATTATTCAGTGTTTAAACCAGGTCTTGGATTCATTATATCTTAATATATTGCTTTCAAAGTAAATGGAATTTCAATTTTTATATCATACATAGATTCTAACACCTTAGCAATTTCTGGCCATCTTTTCTGTCCACGTTCTTAAACCAATTATTTTAAAGTTTCTGCTATTTTTGGATTGTCTGTACACTTTTTTAACATTTCTTAATTATATTATTAGATTTCATTAGAGACAATCTACTTACCTGCAAAATATTAGAATAATAAAAAAAAAAAGCATACAAAAAATTTTACTCTAAAAAAATATTAACTCTTCAATATTGAAACAAAAACTTTAATTAATTTATTATTATGATTCTAAATCAAAATATCTAAATTAATAATTTCAAATTTTTTATATTATTACCTTAAATCATTTTACTTATTCTAAATAGTGACTAATATTATATTACTTCATAAAATAAAGAAAAAAGTAAGCTATTAAATTAAGTAATATCATATCAAATTTATTATAAATTTCTATATCATATTTAAAGACAAAAATTTATTTAAAATATTGATTCTTTAAGAGTATAAAAACATTTTCTCATTTTAATTCATAAGGAAAAAAGTTCAAATGTAAATTTTTTATTTTACTTTACAAATAGACCCTAACTTTAAATACTAATTTATTGTTTAAAAACATATGAATTAACCAAATAGATATTTATGTATTTCTATTGATTAATTTGATTATATTTTATAGTAATTCATCATAATTTAAGAAAAGATTGAATCAAAAAAAATACAAAATTTATTCTTAAATAATCAAAATAAAGGATTACATTTTAATAAAATCATTATAAATCTATGGTAATCCAACAAAATTAATTATTAGATAGATAATTCATTATTAATGTATGTGTATTTAGCAAAACAAAATAATTCAAATTAGACACAATAATTATAAGTTAAATCTTAATAATAATGATGTAGAATAGTTGAGAATAGAATTCTAAAATCTGAAATATAAAATTAAGTAAATTAAATCATTATTTAAAATATTGAAAGTTGACAGAAGAATTATATGAAATTGTTTGATTAAATTTAAGAAAATTAAAAGTATTTTAAGCTTATATATTATTGTTATTGAATAAATTAAAGAAAAAAAAAATAATATTATTTATATTAAAATAATTAAAACGCATTTTTGTGTAAATGATAAAATTATGGATTCTCTTCGTTTTGATTTATCTTGGATAATGTTAAGATTTCATAAGATCAATTAAAAATTATGCTGATGGAATAATTTAATCAAATATTACTTAAAAAGTACTTATAGATTTTGCTCCATTATTATTGCCTTTAACAATTATATCAATTATTTTAATCTAATTGATGAAAGTTTGTTTCAGAAGATAAAAATTTTATGACAAACTTCCTTAAACTGAATAACAAGCAAATAACAAATAAGTGAGATTACCATTTAATCACAAATTGCAATTGTACTTTATGAGATATTATTGTTAAATTTTGAGATTATTTACACATTGATTTATTATTTATATTTGAAATTAATTAATTTAAATTCAAAACCAATCATTCTATTAATCTTGATTTGAAATATTATAAAATTAACCATCTGATACATCACTCAAGACATCTTAATTGAATGAATTATTTTCAAACATTATTTATTCCTGATATTGATACTTTTAATTTTATTATAACTAAATATAAAAATATGTTTACATCTATTTATTTACAATTTTTCATAAAATTAGAAACTGTATATGAAGTATTAACATCAAAAGTAAAAGCACTACACCAAGAATCTAAATTATCCTAAATTAAATAATTATAACTTCTAAATTATAAATAGAATGAATAAAGTACTTAAGATTAGTCCAGACTTATTAAATAATTTAAAATTTTTCAATAGAATTGCTATTTCCTCCACATGCATACAAATCATTGTTATAAATAATTAATTTATTTCTCAAATCTCTACCTTCTGTCATCATACTAATAATTTTAATTGTTTGATTAATTGGATCAAAAACTTGTAAACTATTTGTAAAACCTTAATTTGAACTTAAATATATTATAAATGGATACCCTCCACCTAAAATGAGAATTTAATTATCATCCTAAGAGAGTGCTGCTGCATTACTAAATCCTTACTTAAATTTAAGTTCCAAAACCTTCCATTAATTATCTTTAACAGAATATCTTTCAATTGTATTTTGTCTATCTCTTCCATCAAATCCTCCAAATACATATATATATTTATTTAAAGCAGTAGCAGCAGCAAATGCACATTTCTATTTTTGTAATGGATCAATCATCTTCCATTCATCTGTAACTAAACTATACTTTTCACAACAAGATAACATCTGCTTTGTAGTGCCATCATAACTTATTAGATCATTTATCTCAGATACCCTCCTATTGCGTAAACAAATCCATCAAGATAAACACAAGCATGTTCTTTTCTTGGATAGTACATACTCTTCAAAGCCTACTATTAAAATCCTTTAGATGGAGAAATTAACATAGCATTTCTACTAACTCCTCCTCCAGTTATTATTATGTCTCCATTTGGTAAACTAGCTGCTGCAGCATAATAATTGTAATCAAATGTATTCTATCCATTAATTCATGACTTTATACATTAGACATTTATCTATATTACCAATCATTTTTTTCAATGTTGTAAATTAAAATTTTATGTTTTTCTCCAAAATAACAAATTTAAGGATTAATAACTTCTTTCTTAAATTTTCCATATTTAGAAATATCATTAATTAGTTTTTATTCAAAATTTAATTTTGGTAGTATTTTTAATTCACTACCTTTTAATTATTTTAATTAAACAATATCTTTATCAATCTATTCATCTAAATCATTAATTTCTTTAATAAAATCATTTCCTTTAAAACCTTTTGTAGTCTCTAAATATTTCAAACAATAATACTTAATTCATTATACTTTTCATTTACTTTTTACAATAAAAGAGTCATATTAGATAATAAGGATTAATTTAATATTAATTCTGATTCAATTTATTCACTTTCAGAACCAAATATTTATAATAATTTATCCTTTAATTCTTTTCTTCTTTTTTCACATTTTGCAATTATTCTATCAAATTAATCATCAATTTATTCAATCTAAATCCTACTTTATATATATATACAAGTTTAATGTTATCTAAATCTAATTATTCTTTACAATTATCAAATTTTTTCATCTATTTTTCCAAATTCTCATATTGAGTCTTTAATTTTTATTAGATGCGACCTACTCTATTCATTTATAAAGAAACTAATTTAAGCAATATAATCAATACCTGAATGTTCATATTTAAAAAATTTATGACCATAATGTTCAGTTATACATTCTGTACACATATTTTATTAATCATCTTCACAATAAAACTATAATGGATATTTCTAATGTTATTAGCATAGTTCAAATGTTTTTCTAATTGTTAAAATGTATAGTTTACTATTCTTCCAAATGCTTAGAGGCCAAATCCATAGCAACAAAATTTTTGCTTAAATTATTTGGTTTCACATTAGGTTCGTGTTTTGTCCTGCAAAGAGGACATTCAATTCTCTTATTTACTTTATACATAGTTTCAAGACATATAGTGCAGTAAGTATGACCACATAAAAGATTTCTTGCTATTCTATCTGGTGCATAAAATTCATAACACATTGGACATTCCATTTATTATATTTAATATTTGCATTATTAATTTGAATTTAATTTTATTATAAAAAAAAATATAAAATATTTGATTATTACTGAAATTTCAATTTTTTTGTTTAAATAAAGGAATATCCACTCTATAACATCCAGCAGAATCATCATCTTATTCATCAAAGTTTTTATCTAAATCTTTATTAAATTTAATAGTCTTTTTGCTTGGATAGTATTTTGTATTTGTAATAATCTTCCCTCTTACTGTCTAAATACTTCTTTTTAATGGTTTTTCTTGTATTAATTCTTTTGATAATTTCTTAAATTTATTATATTGAAATTCTTCAATATAATATTTAAATTCTTAATCTTATTAGATATCTTTTGAATCATTATACATTTAATATTTCAATTACATATCTGATACATATAAAAATTAATAAACATCTAATTTTTTGTTTTTTTCAATTGAATCTTAAAGAAAATAATCAGGTAATAATTATTTGTCTTATGTAATTAAGTTTTAACTTATCATACGTAGATCATCAAGAAAAGATAAGCATAAAAGAGTTCGAAAGAATTGATTTTTATTCATCTTTTATTTTATTTCTTCATAATAAATTGAACGATCTTTATCTTTGTTGATCGAATATGTTAATAATAATTCTTTAAGACAATTTGCTGCATCAATAACCATAATACAATGTTCATTATTTGGTTTTAAATCTAAACATTTAATCAATCTAACAATATTTGCTTTAGGAAAGTTTGTTAATCTTTTTTTCTATTCTGTTTTATTTTTTACAAACACCATAATACCTTTTTCAATTGCTTTTTTAAAGATTTATTAAGCTCTACTTGTTAATAAATAACATGAAATTCTTAAAATACTATTATAAATAATACTTAATTCCACTTCTTTCAACAAACTTTTCAAGTGTAGATGACATATCACATCGACATTCAATAATAGTTTGCATTAAAATTTATAAGTTATTAGATTCTATTTCAGGTTTAGGACAACAATAATCCTAGTAAATCTATTTTAATTCATATGGTATATCAATCTTTATATCATGAAGTGTTTCCAATTATTAGGCAATGAGAGGCCACCTTAAGACTTACTTCTAACTTTCAACAAAGTATTTTAAATTTTTTCTTAGTTCTTCATTTTCTTGAAACATCTTTTTCATGATTTTTTTATATTTAAATCAAATGTCATAAAAAGTACTATTTAATTTAATTAATTTGATTTAATAAGATAAAATAATAATAATTTAATTATGTATATATATTGAAATCAGAATATTTTACATGATTCACAACTTCTAGATTTCTATTTGTTTATTTTAAATGACTTAACTGATTCATTTTCATGATCTACTTAAGTATTAAATTTAAAACCAGAATCATTGTTTACACTTAGATTGAATATCCTAGGATTTTGTTTACTTTAAATCTAAAAACATAGATATTTAATGAAGTTACAATCTCATCATTAATTATATTAGTATCAATTGATTTTTCTTAAAATTTTGAATTAGAATAGTTATAATAATGCTATTTTTAAGTTTCAAGTAATTCAATTTCTTATTATAAGTTTTACATAAGTTTTTTGTGACTAATAGAATTTTTGAATTTTCTTTTTTTTTAAAGGTCTGGAGTGACTAATTAAGGATATGATTATTTATCTTTTTATGTGGTTTCTTATTCTTATTCAATGTTTTAAATATCTTGTTTATATTATTAAAGTTTCTGTAATAATTATAATCCCTATTCTCTAGATTTATTTAATTAAGATTCAATATTTTCAATCTCATTTTAGAGGACTTCCAATTATTATATGGATTATTTCTTTTCTTTTTTAGTCATAGTTTATTTTTCTTAATAATAAATTAATTCTGTTTTTAGTTCTTAGATATGATCATTGATCTCTTTATTCTTCTACTCTTTCTCTGTGCTATCCTCTTAAAATTGTAAAACTAGTTCCGTATGCCTTATTTTCATTTCCTCAATATATTTGACAGAACTTTGATTGACCATAGACATATTATTTCTAAGATCTCTTGGAGTAGAATATTATTAAGGAGTAGCTACATAACTTTTTGATCTTTGACTATTGATACTAGGAGATTTAAAATGGAATTAGAGAGGAGGGATTGGAACATGACTATAAAAATGTTGATCTTATTTTTGTATTTCTTTTTCTGAAAGTATAATTTCTAATTGATCTATAATTTCATGAGCCTTATCTAATTATTCCTAATAGTAATGAATTCTAGAATTAGGAGAGAGAGATGGAGATGGTGGTTAAAGATCAAAAATCATATTTTAATTAATAAATGTACATGTATAATATAATGTATGTTTTATTTAACTTTTCATAATCTTCTTCCTCTTCTACCTCCAGGTCTTCTAGTAGAATCTGTTGGAATAGGAGTAACATCTTCAATTCTACCAATTTTAAGTCCCAAACGAGCCAATGCTCTTAATGCAGCTTGAGCACCAGGTCCTGGTTGTCTAGTATCAACACCTTAATATATGAGATAGATGGAATACCTCCTCTTGCTCTTAATTTAATATGCAAAGCATTAATTTTGAGTGTTTTCAATTTCTCATAAACATCTTTGGCTGCTTGCATGGCTGCATATGGTGAAGATTCTTCTCTATCAGATTTAACTTTCATTCCACCAGTGACTCTTGCTAATGTTTCTCTGCCTGTCAAATCAGTGATATGAATGAAGGTGTCATTCCAAGTTGACAAGATGTGAGCTACTCCAAATACTAATTCATTTCCTGCAACATTTGGTCCCAAAGTAGCAACAACTTATTATGTTGTTTCTTCTCCAGTTTTCTTTCCCTTCTTTCCTTTTGGCTATTGAACAGGTTATTCTTTTTTGTCAGCCTTAATTTAATTGTTATAGTTACCATTGTCTAAAAATTAATTTAAATCTTTTTAATATAAAAAATAGAAATCCTGCAATTATTTAATTAATATAGACATACTCTAAAAACATAACAAGGCACTCAACACTCAATAATAATTATTATAATAAATGAGCGAAGAAGAAAAAGTCAATCAAATCAGTCCTAATACAGTTAATGAATTAGTGAAAAATGATAAATATGGTCATTTAATTTAACTTTACTTAAAGAAAGATCCAACTAGGTATTAATATACTCTACCCTATTATAGAATTAAAAAGTATAATAGTATACAAAAATCCAATAAAATATATCATGTTAATCAAGATGTAGCTGTTTGTGCTCTAAATGATGATATCTATTCAGCAAAACTCATTAAAATTTATTGCATCAAGGATCCATCAAATACTTTCATACCCATTATTTAAGTTTAATGGTAATTTATATCTATATTTCATTAGGTATTATTCTAAATAAGATCTAAAAATTGATCAGAAACTCATTAAATGTATTTCTGATAAAGAACTTTTCTTTTCTACTCACTCTGAGTATTTACCTGCAAACAAAATACAAGTTGGAATTAAAGTATTAACTTTTGAAGAATACTCTGACCTTGAATTTGAAGAGGAAACAATCTTCTTTAGTAGAGCTGCCATAGATCTTGAATCCATGGAACCTAGACCAAATATAAAGTTATGGAAAAAGAGTTGTGTATGTTAATTACCTTAGAATCCTGATCTTTAAATGATTTAATGTGATGAATGTGAAAACTGGTTTCATTTAGATTGTGTTGAACTTCAAGATTAAGATATTACAAAAATTGATAAATATTTATGTCCAAGATGCAGTAAATGATTTTCATATAAACAACATTTTTTTATTGTACTAAATATGTATATATCATTCTGCAGCAAATTTGTTTTGAGTTTTCTTTGTTCTTTAAGCCTTATTCTTCTCTCTTCTATCATTTTACTCTTTCTCAATCTTATCAACTCTAACTTTCTCTTATTTTGTTTCATGAATTGCCTCAATCAACACCTTCTTGTTCTTATATTGATTACCCTTTGAAGCCAAATAGAATTCGTGATATCTAAATTATTATTATTCATTTTATTACTATTATCTATCAATTTTCTTTGCAGCTCTGTATTTTCTAAGTAATCTTCTCAAAACTCTTTGTCTTCTAATCCAAAGAACTTTAGTTGGCATTCTTGCCTCTCTTGTACCTCTTCTCTTACCAGTACCTGTATGTCTGCCTCTTCTCTTTGCTTCAAGGTATCTTCTTGCTCTAGCTCTTGAATGAATTGTTCTTAATCTTCTCATAATCAAACCATCTTTAATTAATTTTCTAATTGACATTCTTGAATTTGCAAGACTGATTTCACTTGCTTCATTTGGGTCTAACCAAACTCTGTTAATACCAACCTTTAATTATGTTGAAGCTAATCTTTTTTAGAGACGAAGGTTTACCATTAAAAAATAATATCTAAATTTTTAAATTTTTTTCACAAACAATCACATTATTTATCAAAAAACTAAATATTTTATCTGTCCTCTATTTACCTAAGATATCTTCGGTATCTTATATAAATATTTGGAATTTGTTATTTTAATCATCATATAAAAATATATTAAGTTAGTTCACTAATTTATTGTAATCTAATTTATGTTAACCTACTATAATCATATATGAATAAATATGGAAAATAAGTAACCAATTCAAATATTAATTTGCGAATATCTAATGCTTTTTCTATTTAAGATGAATTTATTTGAAAAAAAATAAAAAACGGAACCAAATATTGTTCTACAAATACCATTTTTAAAGGATTTCCATGGAATTTCTATTTAATTATAAGATATTCATCAATAAAATTAATTAAAAAAGATATAGAAAAGTAATAATAACTATTGAAAATATTATTGTCATCAGATTTTCAAATCATATTAATCTGATATAATATAAAAATATTGACATTATTGCAACATCCAAACACTAAGAATATCTTAAATATATTTACAAAATGATATGAATATAAAGATTTCTATTTTTTACTAATGAGTATATGGAACCACTTAATGAATATAACATCTAAGATTGCTAATATTTAACCACTTTTAATTATTTGTATTAAGATACTATTTTACATAAGGAAAATTAGGGGATTTTGTATTTCAACTAAAATTTAAATAGATCATAACACCTGAAAACCATGTAAAAGTAATTAACAGACTCCTAAATTATACTAACGATAAAAGGAATAAATTAATTATTTAGATATAATGCTTTTGGGTTGTTTTTTTGAAATATCATTACACATAAAATATTAGATTATAGAAAATTAGTTATAGAGATAATATTTCAAAAATTGAAGAGAATTTATTGGATGACTTTATGTAAATAAAAATTTGAAAATTAGGAATAAAATTTGAATAATTATTAAAATAATGAAGGTTCTTAGAATTAATTGATGACTTATAACCTTAACTGAAAAGGTTGTCTAAATACTACTTAAATGGATAGATTTAAAACTATATCAATAGTTTTATCTGAATTCCAAAGGAAGATCCAAAATTAATAAAGTACTGATGTTTTCAGTAGAATTATAAATTACAGATAAATGATGGGAACTGACATATATTAGAGAGAATAATTTGAGAGAAGAGAAAATGACCTGAATTTTAAAATAATTAAATGAATTTTGATTATCCTAAATCTGAATTTCAAACTCCTTAAAAGTAATTTTATGTGAGATCATAACACAAACATAATTCAAGTCAACCTTTATTAGGATAATACTTTCGAGATGTACAAGAACCTAAAATGAATTTAACTAAGGTTGGATAAGAGTCTTTAAAAAAATGGGATTTCTTCTCTGATCCTTTTAGTCTACCTGAAAAATATTTAACTAGTCCATAAAATAAAATGAAGACTGAAACAACTGATCTTGGATATGATAGTCTAGATTTTATGCTTGGAAAATAAACTGATAGATATAGCTCAGGGTCTCTATAAGCTTTGCATTAATAAACCTAATCAGAGAAAATAATTGGCAAAAAAGTTTAGTTTTCTGAGTTAGTTTAAGTAAAGAATGATGATGGAAGTGAATCTGAAGAACCTATGTTGAAGTAATCAAGATAAAAGACAAGAAAAAGTAAGTTCTCTATGAAAAGTTAGAGATCAATAATGCAAGATTGATTTTATAATACTTTATTATAAATGCCAATTTATTTACTAATTTGTCATCATTGTTCTTATGAAACAATGTTATGTTGATATTCATTATGTAGAGTTACTATATATATTGATTAATTATTTGATTTTACATTAATTTCAATAATATTAATAATAATAAGTAGTATTCTATGCATAATTAAGGCAAGAGGTTATACATTGACTTTTAATAATAGTCACCAAGAAAGTTTTAAAATTTAAAGAATAAGACTTAAGAAACTGAAATACAATTTGATCATTATGGCATAGTTCAAACTAGATTTGAGAATAAAATTAAATTAAACATCAAAGAACATATTGATTAACTTTTTGTATGAAACTTCTTGTCCTATTTTAGATTATTCTAAAATCTATTAAAGAAGATTTAAAAATTAGTCGAGATGACATGAATATTATAAAAGAGGATTTATAAAAAATGGAATCTAATTAATATAAAGAAGAAGATCGCATTACTAAAACTGTTCTCTAAAATGTATCCATTTAAATCCTATTTAGATAAATAAATAAAAATATGAATTAAAGAAATAACAACATACAACATCAATTGTTTATGGAAGTCTAAACTAACAAATATCATCATTATAGAATGATAAAATATTTATTAAAGATCATTCTAATCAAGTTGAATTAGATACAAAGTTAATTGAAAATGATATTGGATTTAGGAGAATATATAATATATGATGGAAATAATTAATTAATTATTATTTAACAGATATAGGTTTTATTTATAGTGATAAAATGTCTCTCGAATAACTTTAATGTTATGAGGATGATCAATATTATGATCAATCTATCAAATCAACTTAAAAATAATCTGTATAGTATATTGCCACTTTGAAATCAGAACAATCTATTGAATCATTAGAAAAATTGGTTTCTCATGAGTAAACAAAAGATTCCAATCTCAAATTCGAATTAGATTAATTTATAGGTTTATTGTAGAAATTTAAACCATCTCAACTTAAAAATGAACTCTCTATTATTGCTAGTACTGAATAAGAAGAATATTATAGTTTTCAATAAAAGTAACCATAAGATAAAAATCAAATTATGCTTGAAGGTTATTAAAAGTGTTTCATAGATGCAACTAAAGCAATTAATCAAATAATTATTAATCCTAAAGATCATAAATATATTAGTTAAAATTTAGAAAAAATGAAAATGATATATGTATTATCATTATATTTATTTAGATTATGCATATTTAGAGTTATTAAGGAATGGAAAAATCTATTAATTTATTAAATAGTTTAAAATAAACATTAATTGATGCTGATTAAGAGATTTCTTTATTATACAATCAAATTTAATAATAATAACTGATCATACAAAAAACATAAAGTTAATTGAAATCTGTATAAGGTGATCTCAATCAAGAAAGATTAAATTGTTTGGATTTATAATAGAAGAATTAATAACTTAAACATTTAATTTTAGTTGCCAATAAATAATTTGAAGCACTTCAAGAGAAACTATTATCAACTGAAGAGGAATTAAATCAAGTAGTTTAATAATAGAATGATTAGATAAAATTATTAGTTAAAGCAAATAAAAATTTAAGAGAAACAATCACTAATAATGAAATTAAATCAGATATCAAATAATAAAATACATCTCCACTTAGATCAAATAAAAATTTTAATAATTAAGAGAATTAATATCATTAATCAAATAATAAAATAATATCTCTTAATTAATTTAGAAATTATGTCTAAGATTAAAATTAAGAAATCCTCTCACCTCAAAAGTAAAATTTCACTAAAAGAGAAGGAAATAATTTTATGAAATTATTATGATTTTTATTATACTATTTATTCTTATTGAATTTATAATATTTTAATTAATTTAAAAAAAATACAGTAAAATGATTATCATAATAATAGAGTCTTAGCTATTTGATTAGATTATATAAATTATATCATTTTATTTTAGTATTTATTTTTATTTCTATTTAAATTTTTATCTTAAAAATGTATAAATGTGACATAGAGTGGATATTAAATTAATGAGATTCTTTATTTTATTTATTATAATAATCTTTAGTTTTACAAAGAGTTTATCGGAACAAATTATAATGGTAATATAAAGGCAATGTTAATTTTTTCTTTTATAATAATTAATCAATACACTCTTAAAAGCATATGCATATCAAGACCACTCTTTTGAGTGAAGGATCTTCATCATTTGTTTTCCTCACAGAGGATCCTAATTATGTTATGAAGGAATTTAAATCTATGTATCCTGTCTTAATGAGATAAAAAGAAGCTTAAATTTTAGAAGTTCTTAAAAGTGAACACATTGTTAAACTGACTACATTTACTGAAAATTATTTAATATTGGAAAGACTAAGACCATAAGATTTGTTTGAAGTAGTAAAATCACAAAGTCTAAATCATTAATTCATAAAAGAAACTTGCAAAACTTTGATAAGGATAATTAATACTATTCATAAAATGTAAGTAGTTCATCGTGACATTAAATTGGAGAACATTTTGATAGACAATTCTGGAAGATTGGTTTTATGTGATTTTGGATTCTCTGAATTGTTAACTAATAGTACAGTCAAAAGAACTATGGGAACTTTGAATTATATGCCCCCAGAATTACATTAAGAATCATTAATAGGAGGAATGAATAGTGATAACATAAATACCCAAATCTTAATAAAATCTGATGTGTTCTCTCTTGGAGTTACAGTTTTTTAAATCATTTTTGGATTCTAACCTTTTACTTCAACTAAACCTGGGGCTAATTGTAAATTATGGAAATTAATATAACAGAAAAAATGGACATAATATTGGACCTTAATTAAAAAATTATCAAAACTTCAAATTGATCCTCTTACATAGAATTTCATTGAATTATTTTTATAATCAGATACTTCATCTAGAGCTACTTTAGATGAGATATATATTCATCCCTATTTAAATTAGGTTAAGGATGATGTTCATTTAATTTTCTGACATATTAATATTTGTAAATTAAATACTTTCTTGTATAAGATTAACTATTTTAAAAAAGTATATAATAAATTTAAATGATATAATCAATAATTATGACTAATAATTATGAATAGAACTCAAAAATTATTAAAATTCATATATATATATATACATATTATATCTAATTTGATATATATATATATATGTTAAATGAATAAGATTATATTTATTGTTTAAACAATTCTAGTTTTTAATTATATAATTATCACTTGGTATAGAGAGATGTGAAGAACATAAAATATTAAATCTTTTAATTTTTTTTTTAAATGGCAAGAGCATAAAAAGACACTAGACCAATTGCAGATTAAAATACATCAGAAGCTGCATGTACCTATGCTGCACTCATCTTATATGAAGACAATTAAGAAGTAAAAACTCTTATTAAGAAAAGATCAATTCAGCAAAATTGGCATAAATCATTAAAGCTGCTAATTTGAGAGTTGAACCAATTTGGACTAAAGTATTCGAAAAGGCACTTAAAGGAAAGAGAGTAGGAGATTTATTACATGGAAGCAGCGGAAATGCTCCTGCTTCTTAAGTTGCTACAACAACCACAGCACCAGCTGCATAATAGGCTAAAGCTCCTGAACCTGCAAAGGAAGTTAAGAAAGTAGAAGAACCTGAAGAAGATGTTGATATGGGAGGCTTATTTGATTGATAAACACCATCATTCGTACATTAATATTCAAATATTGAATGAAAAGCATTTTTGAAAAGTGAATTTTTTTAATACATTCTCGAATGAAATCTATGAGAATTTTAAGAAAATATTCATGATCTAATTAATCTAAGTTCCTTATTCTTAAAACTAAATTATAATATTATTGATTTATTATAATACTAAATGCATAAAGTTATTTATAAAGAATTCCTTAGATATATACTAAATATATATATATAGATATTCTTATAAACTTTTCATTCAGGCTTATCATATTTTTTATACTATTTTACCATGTCATCTATTTTCTTTTTAGTTTCAGCACTTAATTCATCACTTTCATTATCAGTTTTCTTCTTTTTTTACCAAAATTAAAAAATAAAAACTATGAAGATTGCCACTAATATCATAGGGAATCTAAATGATTCCATTAATGAGAAAGAAGAACTCTATGGCATTGGTACATGAGTCAATTCAATTTACCTAATAGTAGTTTTATTATTCAATGTGTAAAACTCGAAAGCATTACTAGTCAATGCATTTACTTTATGGGATCTTATGGAATAGTATTGATACCATAATCTTTTATCATCTAATGATGTTAGATAGAGAACTTCATCCTAATAGAGTGATTTATATAAGGATGTATTATAGATTTATAAGGTTTTATCATATCCAATTAAATATGAATTGATTACTCTAATATTCTTTATTTTTTATAAAGTAGGAATCTTATATGATACTACATTAATTTATATATTAAATTACTTGAACACTCATGATGCTTTCCTGATTTTATTTGATATATTAAAATATCTTAATTTGATAATAATACATAAATGTTTTAGCTGTAAATATTCTCTTAATATATTGATACTATAGAAGCAGCAGGTTAATCACATTTTGGAGTTACTACAGTTAAAGATACGGAATTCAAGAAACCAATCAATTTTACAGTTTAAAACATTATATGTGGATGTCTTCTTAATAAATTCATAATTGGTGTTGATGATATTGTATTTTTATTTTTTAATGTACCATTCTAAAAATAATAAGAAATTGCTCCATTCTCATCTCCCACCAAAAAAACTCTTGTATTTCTTCCTGAATTAACTAAAATTGAAGTTGCCTTATGATTTAACTAAAAACTTGATGCCCATATCAATTCAATATCATGATAAAATCCATTCTTATCTATTCTACGAATATCATCAATTGGTTATTCTTTAATATTTCTATCTATTATTGTCATATTGATAATTGTTAAATTTCTATTTATATCATATATTCCAATATAAAATTCATCAACATTATGTAATATATCTGTCATAAGTATATCATAAGTATGATTATATTATGCAACTATTGTACCTAATTAATTTATTATCATTAATTCATTATCACTTGATTTACAAACTAATAATTATGATGAAGGATAATGCAATTATTTTAGATGAAATAAATGAATGTCAATAATATCTTTGTCCATTTCAAATATGTTTTTTATTTTAACTCCATCCAGAAATCTTTTTCTAGCTTCAAAATATTCAATATTTTAAGTCAAATCTATTTAATTTTCTATGTATTTTAACTTATCATAAATTGAGCAATATATATTTGATAGTAATGCTAATAAAAATAACATTCAATAAAATTTATATTCAATAAAATTATTCCTTTGAGTTTGCTAAATTGCCTAAACCATTATTTTCATGTTTTCTATTGTCGTATTGATATTAGATTCTTACTTTCTCAGATTTAATTTTAATATAACTATCCTCCTTTTTAATATAAAAATTACATTTCCTAATTTAATTAATTATTTTCATTAGTCATAAATCTCTTATTATTTAATTACATTCATATTATCTTAAATACTCTATCATATCCTTCAATTAAATCATATTTTTTATTAAACTCTTATTGTGGTTAATTTATTCTATCTAAATTCCTACTCCTTTTTAGCAATTAATTTCTAAAATATTTCCTTAAATTACACATTTTCTTTCTATATTTCATTTATAAAATTTTGCTCTTTACTTAATTTTTTAAAGATATTCATATATAATAATTCAATCTTTAAATGATAGATAGAAAGACTTTTATCCTTTATTCTTTTATGAGATGGATATAATGTTATTCATGTTCTATAAATTTCATCTTATTGATCCTAAGATTACAATGACTACATATTATTAATAAAACTATATAAATAATTAAATAAATCAATTCATCATATGTTTATTCATTTACTCTACTCTACTAATTGGTCGTTCCAAACTCATATCATTTAATTGGGGTTATTTGAGACATGCAAAACTATCACTTATGAGATTCTTGGCATTTTTTAAGAAACCTCTTTCTCTAGCTTAATCAATTCTTCTTTTCTCTTCATTTGACATTTTTAAAATTGTCATAATAGCATTCATTAAAATAGTTGCTTCTTTATAATTTCTAGTTTCTTAGTATAAAAAGTATTTATATACAACATTCTTTAAATATTCAAAATTTGCATTTTTGTTTTCCCCATCCTCTATATTCAAAATAATTTGATCTGTTTAAATCTATTAATGTAATAGCTATTTATTTGGGATAAAGTATTATTATTTTAAAGTAGCATCCTATTCAAATGGATTAATTTCATCATAATCAGGTGTTGGAGTTTAATAGTTCTATTTTTAATTTACTTTTTCTATTTCTGCTTATTTTTTAAATTATAATTATTATTCTAAATCCTATATTTTGATTTTCTGTTTTTGAATTTCTTCTAATAATTTATCAATTTATTATTTAAATTTCAATTATTCATTCATAAGATCTGATGAATTTATTTTATTTACTCTATCTGGTTATTATAATTATAATTCTTAAACCATTAATTATGTTTTTAAATTTGCATAATCTTCTTCCAATTAATGAAGGGTTTGCAATTGTTAATTTTTAATCTATATGATATCATTTAATTCAATAATCTCTTTTGCCAATCTAGTATTATTTACATCTAAATCATTAATCTATTATTTTAATTATTTAATAATTTATTGAGTCTTTTGATCACTATTTTATCCTTGTTTCTCAATCATTTATCTATATTTTTCTTCTAATTAAAATTTCTCATTATTTGTTTCTTTAATTAAAGTTGTTAATGCTTTCGATTTATCTTCATCCTTTTACTTAAATAAATCAATAATTTGATTTTGATCAAATTAACCTATTTTTAATAATATATAAAACCCAAAGGTCTCTATTCAAATTTGTAAATTTCATCATTTAAGACTAATGAGATAGCTTAAAATAAAGTTTCTCTGTCTTTAGCAATTAATTTATACTCTTTATAGGTCTATACATATTTCTCTGATAATTTATCTAATTTTTTAGTGATGGTTTTGTTTTCTTTTATCTTATCATTTATTAAGTATTAAATACTTTATCCTTCAATTATGAAACTAATACTTCTTTACTAAGATCTTCTAATGATTATTCATTAATTTCTTACATTTAATTAAAATATAATAATGGAATTAAAAAAATAAATATACAAATTCCATTATTTCTTAAATTTATGAAAATATGTGAGAATTATATCAAAAAAAGATACTAATTTAGAATTGCTGGGAATATCAATATTATTTATAAGAATATATATCTTTTTGAATAAAACAAGGAGAAAGGAGATTAGAATTTTTATAAAGAGAAAATAATTTCTATATATAATGAAACATTATTAATTTAATGATCCTTTGTTATAAATGAAATTTTGATTTAATAGATATATCTATTATCACTTTAATTAAATATTGCAAAAGATCATACTTTTTTTAGTATGCTATCAATTATAAATCAAAATTTAATCTATTTGTTTTTTTTCAACTTTGTCTATTTACTTCAAGATGATAAGAAATATTTTTGTATCAATAGATTTAAGTTAATGTATTTTTTATTTCTTGCTCTTCATATTATAATCCATCTTTTTATGTTATCTATCCCTGTATTCTCTTTTATTTTAAGTATAGATAATATATTAAAATTTATAGGGAGTTCAATATAGTGTATTTTTATGTAATAATATCAATTGAATAATTCAGGGAATAAAGAGACCTGGATTGGAATTTAGATAAGATTATTAAATAGAATTAATAATGCATAATGAGGATCTTGAATTTGTGACTTTTTTGATGTTTGGGAAAAGTATTACTAATGGATTTAATATTTTTTTAATGATGTAAAATAGTTCAACATTTTAGGATTGTATTTATGAATGAATAAAAACAAGTTTATTTTTAAGAACAAAATCTTAATTTATTTTGAACCAAAATTTATATGTTGCAATTACTTTACATCATTTTATATTCCATGTGAATAGAATCAAGATGTTATTATAGAAAATTATTTTAAATTGAACGGATTATTGATATTTTATAAATTTGTACTATCTTTTATGGACTTTTTGGATGAAAGTAGAATTTATTGTTTATAAATTATTCAGGTATTTTGATATGTAGCATTTGGCTTATGTAGATAAAATATAAATTCAATTCCATTAGATTAGAGAGGATGATGAAAATGTTGATAATAAATGTGATATTAATTAAAATTTATAATGGAATTTGAAAAACAATTATACAGAATTCATGAAAGAATACTTGCTGGATAATTATTAAGAAAGATTTTAAGGGTTGGGTCTTATCTCTTTCCTATTTTAACAATTTTGGGATTAATTTTTATTTTTCTATTATAATTCAGAGAATAATACAATCACTTTTTGGATTAAGAAAACCATGGTATATATTATATATACAAGAATAGAGTATTTCAATAATGAAACAATTTATATTTTTAATATAACTGATACTGAATTAAAAGAAAAAAATGAATCATACCTATCAATGAAATTTACGATTAACAAAACTTTTCTCTTTATGAGTAGTGATTTCTAAAAGAAATATAATTTTTCTGTTGTTACTCATTTTATTGATGTAGATTTTTACATTAAAGGATTTAATTCTATTTTGTGTTTAGCAACAGATTTAGAAACAATGTTTATAATTGATTTTCTTGATTCTTATTAAGAAAGTAACATTTAATTATTAAATCAATAAACAAACGAAACTTGGAGTTGGGATATTTAATAATTTGATAGTTTATTATTATGATTAATATTAGGAAATAATGTTGTTACTTATGATGAAAGAATCTATACAACTCTTATCACATTGATTAAATGTGTTTTAGGAATATTTCTATAATCAATTTTGGCTTCTATTTATATGAAGATGTCCATTATTTGTGCTCCTATTTTTATAATATATATGGGTATTACTTAATATTCAATTTTAAAGTTAGTTGTATGTCATTTTGTTAGAATGAAGATATATAGGCACAAGCGATAGTTGTTGCATTTCCTTGGGTAGGCTAATATTTGAATATTTTGAATAGAAATCATAAATTGAAATAGGAATTGCTTAAAGCTTTTATTTAAATGTTGATTTTATTTTACTTGATCTATTTTTTTTAATTTAGTGGTTATAGTGGTTCAATACAATTATTCACCAAAAGTTACCCAAGAGGATTGAGTGAAAACTTTTTCTCGTAAATAATTATAAATCAATTAGATCATTTCTACTTAATGAATTTGCGTGTATTATATTTTTAAGAACAAGATCATCCCTTTATTTTATTCCTAAATACATAGCCCTTACTTATATACTATTTTTGTATTATTTTGAAACTACAATCTATGGATATTACAATCTAGCATTTTAAATTTGTATCTGTTCATAATTTACTATATTATCTTCTTTTTTACTTTATTTTGAAATAGCAGCTTTAGAGTGGTCAACTATCTCACCTTATACACCATCATTTGATCGACCACGAGTATTCTACACTCCATTGTTTAATATAAATTGGATGAATGATATTCCTACTTTATGGACTATGTTCTATCCTCTTTGTGGAAGAAGGTATCTATTTAATTATATTATATTAGATATTTTTAAATTTAAAATTTAGCTCTTGTAGATAAGAATTATATTTTATTAAACAATTTATTAAATTAAGAGTAAAATTTAGAGAATCCCAATTTGTTAGCATAAGACCTTTTACCTTAACCATAATAAGTAATATAACCAGAAATTCAAAATGATTAAATAAATTAGTAGATTGTAATTAATGTAGATAATATACTTGGAAATGATTAACCATAATAATAAAATTAACTTTTGTGATTGATATGATCTTATTATGAAAATATTATATTTCTTTATATTACAAATATCTTATATTTCCACTTATATTATTTTATTATGAATAAATAAAAACGTAAGAAATAATAAATTTATTAAGCAAATTTAGAATCATTAATTATAGAAACTATTAATTTTATTTTAAATTGCTTCAAAATTTATATAAGTTTTTGAATAAAATAAATTTAAATTCGAAAAAATTTCAATGAAAAAATTATCAATTTTTAAATTAATTCATCATATTATTGAAAGGAATTTTTTTATTATAAAAGATATTTCATATAATATTATCAATCTAATGCTCACTTATGTGAATGAAAATCCAAAATTTGCAGAAACTTTAAAATAGTTAGTAGAATGTGGAAAAGAAAGAGTAATTAGATGGCCAGAAATAGCTAAAGTATTGGAAAATATGTTTAGTATCACTATTTCAAAACCCTGTTTACTAAAACCAGCTTATTAATCCATTATTAGTCCAAATGTTGAATTAGATAAATAATAACATAGATTATTGGTTATAACTGTAATCAAACATTCCGCTTTAATTAAATAAGCATTGCCTGACTTTTAAAAAACATCAGGAATATAGTAAAGTTTGTTATTATATCTTCAGAATTTAATCAAAAAAGTTCTAAAGCAGAATGTATCGTTCCTTTAAAACAGCTCTAGAAATAGGAATTTAAGTATTTGTGTAGAAGAAATCAGAATATAGAAAGAGATTAGTTAGAATTCCTGGTTCAGCTATCTCTCGTGTGTTATAATGTAAAGTTCTACCTTCAGATGATGATTTTACAAATAAATTAAAATATATTTCAGAATAATTGTCTATTCTATTAATGATTAGTATTGATTATGATGGAGAAGACATAACTGCACTCTATTAGACAGTTACTTAAAAAATGATAAAAAAGAACTTTCATTTATTATTAAATTGTATTTCATTTATGTTTGATTTAAAATGTATTAGTCAAGGTTAAATAAAAAGAGATGATTAATTAATGCCTGATTATTGGTTATAGCCAACAATAAAAGAAAATTAGAAATTATATGTTTATAATTATTTTTTTGAAGATGATAATTGTTAAAAGTATAAAATGTATTCAGATGCTGTTGATGTATAATAAGAAATGGAATATAAAGTATTTTTAAATATAAATCCTATATCTTAACCTAAATAGTAATCATTTTTGAAAAAAAATGTAAAATTAAAGACAGTTAGAGGGAGGATAACAGTAAATGATAAGAAATATCCAAGTGAAAGAACTATTATTTTTGCTGAACCAGAGGAAGAAAGTGAAGAAGAATTTTATGATATCAAATTTGGTAGAAAATAAAATTGTATTTGAAATGTTATATAATTTAAATTAATTAGATTATAAGATTTGATTTGATAATTTTTAAGATATAATAATATTATATATATAAATTAATACTAAAATTCAATCTAATTCAATAATTTAGTTGTTAATTTAATGATTATCAGTTTTCTATAAAATATTTGAATTATCAAATTTTACTTCCCTTACTATCTATTTAAGTAATTCATCATCTTCATTATCTTATGGAGAACTTGAGAGTTCATATTCTTAAACTGCTAATAATAATGTATTAGCCATAAATACAACATCATATTATTAATTATCTTTATCTACTTTATTAGCAAAATTCATCAATGCTTCTTTAACTTCTAATCCTAAACTTTATTACCAAAATTTTGTATTAAATTTAACACCATTAGGTTTGATATATTCTTTAGATTCCATCATTTAAAATAATTAATTATCATAAAATAAAATTTTCTCTGGTTCTTTCAATCCTTATAATTTATTTTCATATATTCGTAATCTTTACTAAAATTCTTTTAAATCTTTTTAATCATATTAGTTTCCATTTTACATTTTCTACTAATCAATAATTAATACTTAAGCAGTTTCAAATTACTCAATTAAAATCTTCATAAAATCAACCATATCTAAAGGGTTTTCTAGTGTTTTAATAGTATTTTGAAACTTTTCTCTTATCTTATATGATTCCCATCTCATTTTTCTCACCATTAAAATATCAGTATACTTTTATACAACTTCTAGTAATATTTTAACTATTAATTATTTTGGACTTCTATTACCACCCTATACTTAAGATTACTCAACATTTTTTATTGTAATTAATTCTTTTGTTTCCTAATCATTAAACAATTCACATGCCATTAATTTTTAAATATTAGTTTATAATTCTCTTTCTTTTACACCACAAACATTTAAAGTCTTAAATAATTATTAGACTTGATTTTCATCTAATACTCTCCATTCTGAACCATTGTTTTAATAAATATGATCAATATCATTTGAAAATATATGGTAATCATAACCATGGATATCAGAACCCAAATATAAACATCCATTTATGAAAAGTCTACTAAATTCAACTAATTAAAGATATTATTTATAAATCTTTCTATATTATTACTATTATTATTGAGTATATTAACAATCTTTCTTTTATAATGTCTAATTGATATTATTTAATTCATCTTGAACATTTTCCAACACTAATCCAACTGCTTCTATAACTTCTTATCTATATTCAATAATTATTTTAAAACTATCAGTTTCACGTACTCCTTCAATAAGATTACTTGTAATATCAGCTCTCTATTTTGCCTTCAATCCAAAATAACCTAAATCATTTTAACCAATACTCTTTATATTTCTTAACTCCAAATCAGTAAATAATGATTAAACATAAGGTAATTTAATTGATTAAAGTAGCATAGCTGGCCAATTCTAAATTAAAAACTTAAATAGATTATTGAATCTTATCATTTCTAAATCATTATACTTATCTTTAATCTTAAATGATTTAATCTGAGAATATTATTTTGTTATTTTACTTTTCTTCTTATTTTAATCTTTTAATTTACTGAGTTATTAATATTTACTAATTATTTATTATCTTCTCATTTCTAAACTTTCTTAATTTAAATTTCCTTTTTAATTATTTGTATTTTGAATCATTTCTGGTTATTCATCTGAATCTTACTCTATATCCATATCCTATAATTTTGTTCTTTATGATTTTTTTATTATTTTATTAAATGATTCATAAGCTATTTTCCAAAAAGATTAGCAAGTTGGATCTAAATAATTTTCAAATTCATATTTCTAACTTTATAATGTTAAATCTTAATTTATATCTTTTTCTTCTTCTTATTATTATTATTTTTCTACCATTGACAATAAACTCATTTTTTAAGGTTTATTTCCCTTCTTTTTTATTTCATCCTAAACTTATCTTTATTTAGCTATGTCTATTGGTTTTAATAAACCCATTTTATATTTAAAAATGTCCTCTATTATAAAAGCAGTCAATTTGAAATTAATACGATCTGATTATTCTTGAGTATCAAAGGTTGAATATTAAAAACTATTTGAAAATGTAGCATTAGTATGATAGTCTTTTATCAAATGTCCTGTTAACTTTAATAAAGGGGAAAGAAGTAATTAAAACTAATTTTAGCTATCAGACATAGCTGCAAATTATTAATTATATGGAAAAGCATTTATGAAAGTTGTAATTTCAATTTATTGATTTAAAGGAATAGGAGAAAACGTTTTAATTACATTCCCTTCTCTCATCTTTCCAAATTGATTACTCTATGGAAATATTTATGAAAATTGAACTATTATCTCATCCATTATTGGAAATATAACTTTCTTACCATTCATATAATTTGGAAATCTTCTTTAAAATTCCTTTAATTTAGCCTACTTTTCATTCTCCTTATTATCCATTTTTATTAATACATTACATTATTCAATACTCTATTTTTTAATTAAAAAAAATCATTAAATTTTTTTGATTAATGTAATGCCAAATTTGGAATTTTTTTAATCTAATTTTATTATATCAAAGGTATGATTATCCTATATGTACATTAATAAAACTAATTAATAATGTATAGAAAATCAAAATAATTAGAATCTAAACTATCTATCATTTTCATTACTTTAATTGTATTTCATTATAAATTATAAGATATTGATTCATATTTTGTTTAATATAGAAAAAATTAATAATAGTTTAACATCTGTAAATCTAGTAGTTATAATTTATTTAATTAAGTTATTTCATTAATAGTATAGGTATAGAAATGTTCAAATATATATAATTAAAAAAATAATTCATTTATAAAATTAATTAAAATTAACTTTCAAAATACATTCAATGACTAAAATTAATATATTTATATATTTACTTTCAGGAGCATGAGTAAATCTTTAAGTGTAATGATCAAATAGTAATATCAAAGCTGATATTTATTAATTAAAGGAATCTTTCATTTTTGTAAATTCACTCTCTATTCTCATAGTTTCTATATTTTTTGTGATTTAATCAACTAAATCTAATGTAGTAACTCTTTCAATTAACATAGGATAATTTTATACTATATCAATAACTTTATAAATAGCTTCTAAAATTGATTCTGACTAATAATAATTTTACAATTATACTTTTTAATTTAGAAACATTTTATCAGATATTGTTTTTAGATATAAATTATGATTGTTGATTATCTCTTAAAAACTTAAACTTTTGTTAACCTTATCCAAAAATAAATCTGTTTGAACTTATATAATAGATATAAATAGGAAATATTCATAATTTGTTATAAAATGCGTCAATTAATTTCCAAAATGAAGAAACTTTGATAATTAATTTTTAAGTCTTTTTTTTAAGTTAACTTAAGATTATTGCAGATGTAATTTTGAATTTTTGAAAAATAATAGAAACTGCATGATTTTATTATATAAAATCAATGAATTTTCATTAATGATTAAATCAATTGGATGAGGTAGAAAAATTTTGAAATTAACACTTTTATGAGACAATAAAAATTAGGAATTTTGTTAACAAATCAATTATGGTTATAATTCATAAGCATTATTAAAATTAAAGTTCTTACCTAATAAATCTTAAATAGTATTTTATATAGCTCTTAAACGAGCAAGAGACTGAGATTCTGCAATTTATTCTATAAATTATTGCATAAGATCAACTCTTTCAAAAAAAAATAGACATCTTAAATATTTATGTAATTTAATAAATTGCAAATGATTATTAAGATAATCTAATAAAATATTTTAAATATTTTAATCCTCCTTTTTAATAAGTTTAACTATTTCTTTTTAAAATACTTTGATTAAATTAGGATTTTTAATATTTTTGATTGAATATGATTCATTTTCTTAAATTATTATATCATCCTTTTTTAATTTTGTTAATGTAAAAGGTTCATGAAACTTATAACCTCCAGAAAGTGTACAATATTATAAACTAGTTTAAATAGATTTAGTAGGAGAAGTATCAGATACCTCACATAATCTCATTATAAGATTTTTTTTAAACTGAATTTACTTTAAAGCTGGCAATCCAACTTTTTAGAAAATTTAAAATGCTTAACCAATATTTTTTAATTAGACAGAACAACTCTACAAAAATATAGGAAGATTTTCAAAAGTATCTGTGATAGTTGAATTATAATCTAAATATTTATCTAATAATTTTATATATGGTTCTAAAGCATATAAAAATAGTTTTTATAAATAAACTTAATTATGTTGAGGTTAAAGTGAATTTTAAATGCATAAATTATATAGAATAGTAAGTGTAGGTGAATTAAATGTACCATTATTTGCTTCTATTGTTGATATTTTCTGAGCAACAAGATTGATCTATTTAATAATCACAAACCAATCCTATAAACTTTAACCTAAATACATTAAAGTAATAGATCGATCAACCTTTTATTAACATAATTTTTCATCATAAATAGATTATTCTAATAAATATGTAACTGCCTAATCAAATTCACTTAGTATAGATCTTACACCCAACCAAAATTATTCCTATATTAATATTTCAATATTCAACAATGATGGTTTTTAAATCATATTTAATGGTTTTTTTAAATGACATACTATTGTAGCATATTCTAAAAACTTTTGAGTACTACTAAGAAGACTATCATGACTCATATGACGAACATCAAAATCAGTTAATTAATATTATCCTGAAGAGAATGTTAATAATTCACTTTATAAACCCAAAAAACTATATAAGACTGCAATAACTACATCCCTTTCATTTGTAATCATACTAATCTAATAAAAGAATATTTTTACTTTATAATCCTTGGTTTTTTAAGAATTTCTTATGATTTATTTTAATTCTCTGATAAAAATAGTTATGATGATCTTATTTGAATAGAAGAATCATTAGAACTTACAAATTCATTAAAAGACTTTTTAGTATTAAAACTCATATGCCATAATACATTAGGTAATTAATCTTTTGAAGATATCAAATTTTAATTTTATTAGGTTTTCTATTGAATTTCTCTTACATTTTCATTTCTTTAATTAATTTTAATATCTTCTTATTTATTTTCTTCTTCATCTTCTTCTTCTGAAGATGTTTCAAATTTCCAATCCTTTAAGGACTGCAAAATGAATATTTTATAATTACTTCTATGCTTGAAATAGACATATTGTCTTATTATTTTCTCTTTAAAATATTTTTATTTGGTTCACGATTTAAGTTGTGTTCAATCAAATTAGAACTTAAAAGTAGCAATAAACCTAAGATACGATGAGGTATATCATTGTAATCTTATTTTAATTTTCTCTTCTTTAATTCTTAAAATAGAGTATTTAAGTAATCTGCAGTATCAGGTCTGCTCATGACTTAGAGTTTAATTAAAATGCTAATTAATATTTCATATTAATACTCTTAAAATTTAGCTTCTATTTGATGAGCATCAGGATCTAGGAATGTGTGATATTTCAAATTTGAACTTGCATATTTGTGGGCTATTTCAAAATTTTTTTGGGATGACTTAATTCAAAATACAATTTTACTCCAAATCCTGTAAAATAGATTATAAACTTTTCTAAATCTTCTTCAAATTATTATTCCCTTTATTTTTGAAAATTAGACATTCAATTTTGAGGGAAAATTAAAATTTTTAATATAAAATAATTTAATCACTCAATAATTCATTGAAATCAACATTAAAATTATATAATAAAACATATATTTAATTAATTGTATAATATTCTAAGTAAATAAATTAGAATTGCTATTTATGCAATAGTTTCAATACTGTCTTTAATTAATATTAATCACAAATAATGAATCAATATGTTTATTTTAATGATTTGAAGGAAATGTAACAGTATGCCAGATAAAATCATATCTCATTATATGCATACAAGAAAACTGTATATAATTTGACAGATTATGCTGAGAATCATCCTGGTAGTGAAGTTTACATGTTTAATTATGAAAATCAGGATGTCACTAATGCTCAATTCAATAAGATGATACTTTAAACCCACAAAGAAATCATCTTAACATTATAAGAATATATAATTGGATATATATAGAAACATGAGAAATAAATTATGTAATTCAAATCCTCTAAATCCATTATCGAATAGACAAAAAAAAGATTAAGAGAAAGCACTGTACCATTTTATGAAAATATTCCTAAGGATTGTTCTATTACTAAATTGCCTATATTTACTACTCATAAATAATTTCACTCTCAAAAGTCAATTAACATATCTAAATGAATCTTTACATTTATATTTATATAATAATTATTATAGTACTTATATTTAAATATATTTCTTAAACAGAAACTCATACTGTTTAAATACTTAATAGATAGTATTGTACAAATATTTATCATAATGATTGTATTTTTTTATTATTATTCAATTAATAATAATGAATTCAAAATATTGAATTTTTGCTTTCAAAATAAAAGCAAATATTTTAAATTCATCCTAATATATATCAATATTCATCTTGATTAACAGAGAAACCTTCGAATTAACCTTTAGTTTATCTTATTTAAGATTAGGGAGTTTCGAATATTTTTTTTGGAACTCCTTTATTTTCTGTCTATTTTTATTATAAGATTTTAGTTAGACCATCTAAAATTGGTGATTTTATTCTTAAATAATAAATATCATCCCAATTAATTTAAGAAAAAAATATATGTTTCTTTATTTAATCTACAGATCTACTTCCTATAATATTAATATTAATATTACCTAAACGATTATTGGGATCTTTATTTAACAGTTAAGAAATGATATCCTTAGCTTCATTTGATAAGAAATCTGGAAATAATATCTCACTTTAAATAATATTGTTCTCTATCACTCTTTAATTATTATATTTATCTCTAAAAGGAGTATATCCTACAAGCATTTCATAAAGTAATATTCCTAGACTCCACCAATCTACAGATGAATTATGTCCAGATTTCAACAAAATTTCTGGGGCTATATATTCAGGTGTACCAACAAACTAAACTTATAATTAAATCTAATCATTACAGTAAAGAATTTCATATCTTAAGTATCATATTATTTTGATAATCCGAAATCTGTTAATTTCAAATGTCCATCCTAAGTAACTAAAATGTTATCTGGTTTCAAATCTCTATATAAAACCTTTAATGTTTCATGTATATATTCTAATCCAAGAATAATTTCAGCAGCACAAAACTATGCTTAAATTTATGTAAATCGATTTTAATTATACTTGCTAAGAATCTTTGAAAGCTGACCTCCATTGACTAATCTAAATTTTCTATTTTAATATATTACTCCATAACTAAATATAACTTTTAATCTGTTTAGAATGAGTATTTTAATTTTACAACAAAAGGGTTTTTACTTCTTATAAGAACACTCTTTTCAAGCATTGTATGTTCCACTAATCCATATTGAATGATTTCTGATTTTTTAATTACTTTCATAGCATATTCCTGAGAACTATTCTTCATTTTCACTTTATAAACCTTACCGAATTATCCCTAATAATATATATATATATTCACAACCCTTCCTATTTAACCTTGACTTAAGAAATCTTTTAAAGTGATTTTATTGATATCTTAGTCTTAAAGAGATTGGGACTATAACTAATCTACTTTCTTAAGTGATTTTAAGGATGTTTTGGCATTCTCATCTTAATTGAAACAATTACCCATATTTGATAAAAATTAAATCCTTTTTTTAAAATATGTCTTCTCAAAAGTTCAAGGTTAAAAAGCTTAGAGATTAAAAGCCTGAAGATCTTTTAAAAGATTTAGAGAAACTCAAAGGAGAACTTATTTAATTGCGAACAGTTAAAGTTTCAGCTGGTAATGCTTAAAAACTTGGAAGAATTGGAGTAAGCAACTAATCAATTAATTAAGCTTGTTAGAAAGCGAATTGCTAAATATTTAACAGTGATCAATGAATAAAGAAGAAATTCTGTGAAAAATGCAGCCAAATCAAGTACTAAACTTCCAGTTGATCTTAGAGGTAAAAAAACAAGAGCAATTAGATAAAGACTCACAAGAAGCGAAAGAGGTAATAATAAATGATAAATAAATAAAGCATAAAAAACATAAAGACAATGGAAAAGATTGAACAATTTCCCATTAAGAAAGTTTGCTTTAAAAGAATGATCAATTATATAAAATAGTATATATGGCAATTGTAAATATCAACCATTATCAGATTTATAAATTCTATTCAAATCAAAGCCATTCAAAATCTAATTTAATTGTAATTCTTTTGATCTTGTAATTCAAAGTTAAGAAATTTGATACTTACTTAATGTTTATCAAAAATTAAAATCCTCTGTTAATAATTCATTAAAAATTATTTGAGAAATTCATATAATTAGATAGCATCAAAATATTAAAGTAAACTAAATTCTTCTTCTATTTTTATTGCAATTTTACACGATCTATCTATTATTATTGATTAAGAATCTATATTACAAAAATCAAATCAATTAATAAAAAGAACATTACATTAAACTTTCTAATAGATTTTAATTGTACTTTTAACAAAAAAGATATTCTTTTCTAAATTATTTGTATTTTATAAATCAATTTATTTATAATACATTAAATTAATCATTTCTATTCTATTGAATACTTTATTTCATTATACTTCCTCTATAATTAATATTATATTGATGGAAAAATATTGAATCTTCTATTTTACTTCTTTATAATTAATATTATATCCTAATATTCTTTCATTTAATGTATAGTAAAGCTTAATCAAATTAATCTCCAAATTTTGTAGTACACTCTCTAATTAGAATTTATGAAAAAAGGTTTTAACTAATTTGTTTTAAGAATTTACTGGAAAAATCAGAATAAATGTAAAAACATTTGAATAATTCGTTTGTATTTACACTTATACAAAATTGATTTATTTATAAATAGATTAGCATTATATTTAACAAACAATATTACATTTAAATTGAGATATTACAATAAATATAAAATATAAATTATTTAATATATTTTCAACTAAGAGAATGTAATTTATTCTACACAGCAAATATTCCTCTATAAAAAAAATGCATCAAATAAGTAAAAGGAAAGAGGAATACCAATAATAATCTAGATCTAATAAATTTATAATTAATGAATTACTTATTGATTTTAAATTATTAGTAATGGAATTGAAAAGTGATAATAAAACAAAAAAATGGGTATATTAATAGTAAGATACAAAATATTAGAATGAATACTATGATTTTGGGTAGAACCATTAATAACCGCAATAAAGTTGGATTTTTTAATGGTTTAACATTTTTCATCATTGAACCAGGAACTTTAAATTAGTATATATAGATATTACATGGACATCCAAATAAGTTCCATAATCTATAATGATATCTACTAAATTTTCCCTTGCAAATCCAACAAAATTCATATTTACATTTACAAACCATATGATTGCATCCACTAATCTTTTCTATTGGTATCAAACAATTAGGACATCTTTAACTACAATCTCCATTGTGAATTTCACCACACTTTTTACATACATTTGATCCGCATTTATGGGTTTATAAATTCTCTTTACATACCTTATTGAATAAAAATAATCATATACAGAACAAGTAATTATAGCTTTCTGCTTCAACTCTAAATATTTTGGATATAAGTCTTCACAATATTATTTTATTATTAAAGCATTGTATTCTATATTGCATGTAGGACAAGTTATCTTAAATACACTTCCACTTTTAATTGCTTCTTATAGATACATGATGATGCATTCTCTTTTGATTTAAGTATACTTACTTGCAAAATTGATGAGAACAATCTCCAGGCTTAATCATTAACTTATCTATGAAGCAGATTTAACAATTCATAATTTTAATTTCATATGACAAATGATATAAATTTTAGCAATTATTATAAAATATAAATCAAGCAATATAAAAAAAGATTGTCATATTTCATTTAATTTAACAATCTTTCTTTTAACAAAACAAATTAATTGTAAAGGTTCTTCTATTTAACTACAATCAAAAATTTAGAAATTGTATTATTGATTTTCTTATTCTACTGTTTCCTCATTTTTTATAGGAAATTTACAATTTACTTATTATTCAAGTTATTATATAATAGATTTGACTAAGATTTAATTCTTTTCATCTTTAGTTACTCTGCTTAATTTAATTTTATTTTCCTCTTATTTTAATAAATTATAATATCTGTTTTTAATTGTATTTTCTGTTCTTTTTAACTTAAATACCTTCAATGAAATTTCTGCCCATCTCTTTCCTCTTTTCTCTATTTCTCTAAATAATTTTAACTCTTCCTCCTTTGTCCATGGAAGACTACGAATATTTAACATTATTTAATACTTGACAATATTTGGATCCAATTTATTCACCCAACGATCTCTACATTGTTTTCCTTAACGAATATAAGGTGTTTTACAAATCCTCATCATTTCTATTGCAATCTCACACCATTTATTTGGATGTAATTTCTGTAATTAAATTAGGACTTAATCCTCAGAAGGTGTCCAACTTACCTTCTAATGACATTCTTCCAACCATCTATTTCTACAAGCCTTCCAATTATGATATCTAAACATTCTTGATATTTATTCCCATTAATAGGAACTCTATGAACGAATAATTCTAAATATTTTACTAGCTCGATAGGAATTTCTTTGTTTTTCAAGCAAGTACCTAATACCAACAAGTTTAGGAATTTATCTTAACAAGGAGTCCACGTTCCTCTTTTACTATTGTAGGCCTTTTCCACAGAATTTAATATAGAATTAATTTCTTCAACCGTAGGCAATTGTTAGAATGAGAATTAATGGCTTTTAAGAAGTGATTATGCAAACTCATAATTTGGTTAGAGAAACATCTCTAAAACTTATTGTCTATCTAATGGCGTTTTTTTTTGCATACTCAAAATGATGTTTATTATATTAAATGTAATAATTTATTTGCAAAACAAACTGATAAATTAAGAAAGTATTATGAGAATACTAGAGAAAGAGTGTTTTAATATTTTTGTATTTGATTAAGCTCTTTGTTTTAGAATTCAAAGTTGTGAAGGGATTATTTTTTAGAATCTTCTGTAATTCTTAAATTTTAATTAATATAATTTTATTTGATAAAAATGTAGTTTGGAACTAGTAATTTATCCTTACTTTTATTTCCAATAAATATACAACAAAATCTATTATAACTTTGTTATATATTCATTATTTAATCTAAAAAACAATATTATGAATTTGTTTTCATAATTTTAAATATAAAAACAAAAACTTATGTTTTTTATTAAAAACTTTAATAATCATATTTATTAATTAGAATCAAAAGTTTAGATATTAAAATAATTAATGTTGGTTGCCATTTGAAATTATCATCTTTAGTAAATTACATAATGAAAGAAATTTCAAATCTTCAATCTCTTTTGATTATAAAATCATTATCTCTTATGATATTGAAAATATCTTAATAATAATTTTAAACAGAAAATTGAATTAAGTATTTAATAATCAATTTTATTGTTCATAGGTATTTTAGGAAATGTTTGGGTGTTGTATATGAAATATAAATAGCATTTTCAAATTATTTCTTAATTTATTTTTATGTATAAATTAACAATATTAATATAATTAATTAAGTTTACTTTTATGATCAACATTAGTTTTAATTATGTTATAAAAAGGATTCTTAATTAAAAAATAGAGTGATGGGACTACAACAATTTCTGATGAAAAGATATCTTTAAATAATATATTGATAATCAAGGATTTTATATGATAAGGTAAATAATAGTTGATTATATTAAAAAGGACTTAAATATTTTTATTACTTTTAAAGGTGGTTTTGATGTAATGTTGAACAAAAATGAATAGGATAGAGTGATGTAACACAGAATGCTCCATAAAATGAAGATATTATATGGAATCGTATATGTAGCTTTTATTAATTTATTCAATGTATATAAACCATATGAACCCGATGTTCTTTTGCTTCCCTTATTTTTATCAAGTACCATTGCCTCAAAATTTTGTTAAAGAAGAGGTTTCTGATACTGAGAAAGAACAAACAGTATAAAGTATTCAAGAACAAACGAATGCTAGTGGAATAGTAAGAGGGAAAGGATAGTTATGGTCTAATGATGAAGTGAAAAACTTAGTGAAATATTATAAATAATATAATGGAGATTGGAAAAAGATCATAAAACACTTGAAGGGAAGAAATATCTCATAGTGTTCATAAAAGTATAGGAAACTTTAGGATTAAGAAAAAAGAACGAAAAGAAAGTGGTCAAATGAGGAGGATAGAATATTATTAGATAGTTTTGAATTGTATGGAAAATAATGGATTAAGATAGCTGAAAGTATTATATAGAGTTACTAAATATAGAACTTCCTGGAAGAACATCAAAATAAGTAAGAGATAGATATGTAAATTAAATAAACCCAATAATCAATCATGATGAGTGGAGTGAAGCAGAAGATAAGATAATTATGAAGGAATTTTAACAGAATGGACCACGTTGGGCCTAAATAGCCAAATAGCTTAACAACAGATCTGTAATTCTGAAATTCTTATAATTTTTAGGAAAATTAAGTAAAAAATAGATTCTATTATACTATTCTAAAAAAGTATAATGGAGAGCTACATCCATATTTGAAAATATAGAATTGATTCTCCTTATTATCACTCTATTTTGATATAATATAATTTTTAAATATTTGTAAAATATCAATCAAAGTATGAATTAATTACTACAAGAAGAAAACATTTAGTAATTAGATGAATAGAGCTTGAATGAATAACCAGAATAAGTAGAATAATAGAATGAAGTATAACATGAATAAGAAGAATAAGATAGTAGAGTGGATCATAACTAAAGAGAAACATATGTTATAGATCCTCCAAAGAAATAAATAGAGGATCAACCAGAGATAAAATAGTTGGTTGTGTAACAGAATCCAAATAAGATGAATTTATAAGAAGATGTTAAAGTTTCTACATAAAGAAAAGAGTTGAATAAAAGATTAGAAACTGAAAAGTAATAGGGATAAAAAACAGCATCTGAAAGAACATTTAAAACTTTAGAATAAGTATATAGTAAACAAAATACATAATCATTATTGCATTTCAGAACATCTGAATAATTTGATACAAAAATAGTTCATGATTAAATTAATCGATCTCATTCAAAACAATAATATACATTTTCGAAAGCAGAAAGATTCTCGAAAGCTAAAGAAAGTTATTGCTCTATTTAATTTTATGACTCACAGTATTTCTTAATTTAATTAAAGAATCGAAACATAATTGAATAAAAGAGCTGCAGCCTTAGGATATGGAAATAAATCAGATTTTACTAAAAAAGACAAATATATTCCAGGACCTACTGATTATACTTTAAAATTACCTTCAAATCCAGGAGTTAAATTTGGATATGGAAGAGATGAAACTATAATAAAAGGAATACATGGTCGACCTAACAAAAACCCAGCTCCAAATCTATATCAAGTAAAAGATATAATAACTACATACAAATATTCAATGGGAGAGAGAACTTCAGCAAAACGTAATATAATTTCATATTTTATTAGATATTTATCTTTAATCTACAACTCCAGCACCTGGACGATATGATGTGGGAGGTCTTAAAGCAAAAGGAAATTACTTCATAGGAAGATATAAAAGCAGTGGGGCTCCAATTATTTCTCCATCTTCTACGATTGCTAAAAGATTAAAAAGAATCCCAGGTCCTGGCACTTATGACCCTCCTGGAGATATAGGAGATCTTAGAACATATTTACCATCTTAATATTCTACTAGAAGTGGTTTTAGATTTGGATTTTAGGAAAGATAAACTCAAGGTCTAAAAAATATTTAATGTAAATTTGCTTTTAAGATATTATATAAGTTCCTGGACCTGGTACTTATTAATTACCATCAGAATTTGGTGATTTTGAATATCCACCTCTAATATGATATAAATAATTAAAATCAGAATCTTATATTACACAAGGCTGCTACTATTATATCAACAAAATGTGCAAGTTGTTTAGTTAATGGTTCTTCCATTCCTAATACTCCTTCACTTGGTGATAATAATTGATCCTTCTCAACTTATACTTTTAATTTACATTTTAAACAAGTCTAATATATTAGAATTTTAATTACTTCAATAACAGCAACTGTATTATTATTTTTGTCTAATAACGGTTGGGCAAATATTGGTAAAATAGACTTAATGTCTACAGCTTGATTGAAATGAATTGAGCTTTTTACATCATTTATTATCAATTTCTGTTTTGTATAAGCCACCATCCCAGCTAATCCATATTAAACATCATATTTTCTAACCTCTTGACCACTATAATCTACAAGTTGATTATCTTCAAAAAAGTAAAACAAGACTTAAGAGAATCCAAAGATTTAACTAAGACTTAATTACACTTTAGAAGAGAACTCTTATTTACTTTAACTTTTCATTAGATTAGTAAATCCATCCATCATCATTCCTCTATATTTCTAAGTAATTATCCATGATTAACTAAATCTACTAGATTTGTTACTTATCAATTAATCTTTATAGCAAATGCCCAAGTTAATGTGATGCTAAAATACCAAAGTATTCTTCATCAAAAGAAAAGAATTCATTTTCAGTATTGGTCACTTCCAAAACACCTCTAATAGCATCATTGGTCTCACAAAACAAAGGTAATAATAATGCATTTCTAGCATAATCAGCTTATTCTGAATCATTTATTCTATATAATAATGGTTTTTAAGAAGCTTAAGAGATATTTTAGGCAGCCCTCAATTTAAAGACATCAGCAACTTAACCCTTATGTTATAAAGCTCTAATTTGATTGCCTGTTTCTAAATATGTAAATATGGTTCCATTCATTCCATCTATTAACCATAGTCTAACTTATTCACATCCAAATACTTATGGTAATACTCTATTAACTTAATGTATAATCTAATAATTAAAAATATATATTTTACATCTTCAAATAGAATACATTTACTAAATTATTCCATATAAAAGAAAAATTAATTCATTTTTTCAGCAAATTCTTTATAAGATAATAATTATTAAGCTATGATTTAGAATTATTCTTTTTATGATTCAACAGGGAGTGTAAAATTATGTTAACAAGTAGCTAATACACCTTTATCAGTAAGATCATTTAACAAATGTTAATTATTTAATCTTTAACTAACTACTCTAAAATCTAAAGTTTATGGTATTCTAAAATTAACTAATAAATCAATATCATCTTTTCTAAATACTGATTTCTCATCTTTACCCATATCATCTTAATTTTTCTTCCTCATATTATCAATTGTCTTTTATAATCGATTAACTAATTATGTATATTAATTAAGTTTTCCTTAAACTCTCTCTAATTCTTATTTTTTATGTTCAAATTCTCTTTTTATTAATTCATTTTCTTTCAACAATTCATTAAGACTACTCCTTAATTTATCATTAGGATTTAAGGCAGAATTCACATCATTTTCCAAAAGAAATTCAATTCTTTTTTCTAATGCTGTAATTTTTTTAGAATTAGATGCATTTAATTTTCTTTCTTGTTTTAATTGTTTCTATAATTTAGAATTCTCATCCAATAATTTATTAGTCTTTTAACTATGTACATCAATCACACTTTATAAAGATTGATTTTTATCTGATAATTTCAGTTACTTCATTTATAATGATGAATACTTAACTACGATAAGTTAATTAATATACTATTCTTCCTCTCTATTTCCCTCATTTTGAAGCCTAATTCTATTTCAGTCTTTGCAGATTGTTATAATGTTTAAGAAATGCTTTTTAACAATTCTTAAATCTTTTATAATGTAGTTTGGTTTTTAATATTGTGTACAAACTCTTTGCCACCAATAACTGAGATCAATAAATCTAAAGTACTGCATCTAGATTTAAGAATTTCATGCATTTCACGAATTCGCTGCATTTTTAATAAATAGTTACTAAGAGTTCTTCATCCAATTAATCTTACTATCTATAACCATAGGAATCTTGCTCTTCAGCTATGGTAATAGTGGGTCTTTCAGCACTTATTAATTTTCTAGTGTTTGAGTTTGTAGTACTCACAGAATTGAATTGAGTACTCATCTTTGGTAAGGCTTACATATAAGATCTTGGAGTTCCTAATTATTATGGTCTTTAAAAGTCCTCTGAAAAGTGTTAACGATGATGTTGATTAAGGAGTAATCCCAATCCTTTACGTGATGCTTTTGCATTATCTGATATTTACATTATTATATTTAAATACTATTATAATACATTTATATAGTTTTTATATATTTATTTATATAATTCATTAAATTAATTACAAAAAATTAATTATAATTAAATTAAGTACAAAATTAATTAACTTTTTACAAATTTCCAGAATTTTAATAATTTATAAAGAACTCATAGAAATTCTTGATTTTCGAAAATTCTAGAGATTTTATCTTTTAAATATTTGACTCGAATGTTAAGAAACAACAATTAATTTAAACAATGTCAACAACTCAAAATAAAGAAGAATAATTCCACTTTAATGCAGATATTCAACAATTGATGGGTCTCATCATTAATACATTCTATTCAAATAAGGAAATCTTCCTCAGAGAACTAATTTCAAATGCTTCTGATGCTCTAGATAAAATCAGATACAAATCTATTACAGATCCAGATAGTGCAGGATTAAATGTTGAACCTAATTTCAAAATTAAAATTATTCCAGATAAAAATAATAACACTTTAACTATTTAAGATACTGGTATTGGTATGACAAGAGATGAATTAATTAATAATCTTGGTACAATTGCTAAATCTGGAACAAAGGCATTTATGGAAGCACTTAATTCTGGAGCTGATATTTCTATGATTGGACAATTTGGTGTTGGTTTCTATTCTGCTTATTTAGTAGCAGATAAAGTAGTTGTACTTTCAAAAGCAGTTGGTTAATAATAATATAGATGGGAATCATAAGCTGGTGGAACATTCTTTATCTATGATGATAGTGAGAATCCTAATTAATTAACAAGAGGATCATCTGTTATTCTTCATCTTAAATAGGATAATTTAGAATTTTTGGAGGAAAAGAGAATTAAAGATTTAGTTAAGAAACACTCAGAATTTATTGGATTCCCTATTGAATTGTAAATTGAAAAAACTCATGAGAAAGAAGTTAGTGATGATGAAGAAGATAATAAAGAAAAGAAGACAGAAGAGGGAGAAGTTTAAGAGGAGAAGAACAAAGATGAGAAAAAAAAGAAAAAGAAGATTAAAGAAGTTACTACTGAATTTGAATAAGTTAATAAGAATAAACCTTTGTGGATGAAAAAACCAGAAGAAATAACAAAAGAAGAGTATGCAAACTTTTACAAATCTTTAACAAATGATTGGGAAGATCATTTAAGTGTTAAATAGTTTTCAGTTGAAGGTGGTTTAGAATTCAAGGCTGTACTATTTATTCCTAAAAGAGCACCTTTTGATTTGTTTGAAACTAAAAAGAAAAAGAATAATATCAAATTATATGTTAGAAGAGTTTTCATTATGGATGATTGTGAAGAATTGATTCCAGAATATTTAGGATTTATCAAAGGAGTTGTAGATTCAGAAGACTTACCATTAAATATTTCAAGAGAATTCTTATAACATAATAAAATATTGAAAGTAATTAAAAAGAATATTACTAAAAAATGTATTGAAATGTTCTAAGAACTTTCAGAAAATGCTGAAGACTATAAAAAATTCTATGAATAGTTCTCAAAAAATATTAAATTAGGTATTCATGAAGATTCTGCTAACAGAACTAAATTGGCTGAATTCTTAAGATTCCACACTTCAAAAAGTGGAGAAGACTAAATTTCTTTAAAAGACTATATTAGTAAAATGAAAGAAGGATAAAAAGATATTTATTTCATAACAGGTGAATCAAAAGCTTCTGTAGGTGCTTCTCCATTTGTTGAAAGTTTAAAGAAGAAAGATTATGAAGTAATTTATATGGTTGATCCTATTGATGAATATGTAATTTAATAGTTAAAAGAATTTGAAGGAAAGAAATTGAAGAATTGCAGTAAGGAAGGATTAGAATTAGATTAAACTGAAGATGAGAAGAAGAAATTTGAAGAACTTAAATCATAATTTGAAGGACTATGCAAATTAATAAAAGATATTCTAGGTGATAAAATAGAAAAAGTGTAATTAGGATAAAGATTAGAATAATCTCCTTGTGTTTTAGTAACAGGTGAATATGGATGGTCAGCTAATATGGAAAGAATTATGAAAGCTTAAGCATTAAGAGATCCATCAATGAGTAGTTACATGATGTCTAAGAAAACATTAGAAATCAATGCATCTCATCCAATAATGACTGAATTGAAAAAGAAAGCAGATAAAGATAAGAGTGATAAAACTGTTAAAGATCTTATTTGGTTATTGTATGAGACAGCTTTATTGACTTCAGGATTTAGTTTAGATGATCCAGCACATTTTGCTAGTAGAATTCATAAGATGATAAAATTGGGATTATCTATAGATGATACAACAATTGAAGAAGAAGATGAAAAATTACCAAGTTTAGAAAAGAAAAGTGAAACAGCCAATACTGAAGCTACCAAATCAAAAATGGAAGAAGTAGATTGATATATATATATATATATAATTTAATAAATATATACAAATTTATTAATCAATTCATCCAAATAATTTAAGATAGATATTCAGCTATTAATTCTCTATATTAATAAAGTGCTTATTAATTACATTTAGTTTTCTTTAAGTTTTAATAAATTTAACAACAAAAGTTAAGTTTAATCATTATTAATAATTGCTCTCTGATTTAGATTTAAGAGAATGATTTATCAAAACTCCAAGGATCAATTATTTAAATATAATATTACTGTTGATTGATTATTAAATTTAATGCAATGCAAGGAATTTTCATTTATGGAAATATTAGTCGTTTTATCATTGTTTATTATTATTACTATTTTTTTGTATTGATTAATTTCTATGATTCATCCATGTCTGATTCTTCATCTTAACTCTCCTATAGTTTTGTTTATTCTTATTGATTTTATTAAAGTTGTTATTATATTTATAGCTATTTTACTTATTATCTTTGTTCATAATGGATCATAGCCACTTTTGTAATATCTCTAATTAAATCAAACAACATTATTGTTGTTCTAATTATTCTGATTGCATAAATTAGACAATATCTTTAATATGACTCAGTTGTGTTAATATAATCAGTCAATGATAACAAATCAATCACTAATAACATTATCTGATACAAATTAAAGGACGATTTAAGTTTCATAACCTTGCGATATAAAGTCGATAATAAAAATGGAATCAGGCAAAATCTGAAAACCTATTGTAAACTCATTACCTACTTTTGTATATCTTCCAAATTCATAATTATACAGTAGGTTCTTTTCAACCCTATATGCAAACTTAAGCACTCTTCCACTCATTTTTGTCTCTTCTCTTCCAACCTTAATAAATAGACACAATGCAACAGACAATAAAAACTCAATCATTTAGAATATAAGTGAAAACATTTATTTAATTATTTATTATTTATATCATTAAATTTCTTTTAATAAAATTATCATATTAAAGAAGTTGCTTTTAAAATCTAGAATTACTACATTATCATCAAATGATAATTAGATATCATATATTTCTGAGAAATTATAAATAATAATTGCAGTCTTTTTCATTTAAATTATTTCTATTTTAATTTAGTATTTTTTATTTGAATATTCATAAATAAACTTATGTTTCTTAAAAAAAAAAGTAATTGATATATTTATAGGTTCTATAATTATTAAAGATGTTGATTCAGGTGTATATTTTAATTAGTTTAGATAATTACATGTAATTATTAATATAAAAAGATTTAAATAAAAAATCAAATTTTATTGATAAGAAATGGCAGCTAATAAATTTTGGAAAAAGAAGGAAGTAAGAAATTAAATCTAATCTAAAGTTATCAAGTTTAGAATAATAAGTAGGATCAGCATTGACATAAATCGAAACAACAATCACTGAAGTTAAAAATCTCAAAGTGTCATCTGTTGTTGACTACACTGCAAAAATTAATGCAAAGAAATAGGTCTATTTGGTATTGATCCCATATCCATGTTTGAGCATTTATAATAAGATTAGGTAAGAGTTTTGATTAAATCATAGCTCAAAATTATTACCTGAATTAGAAAAGAGAGTCAAAGCTACAATCTTAGTAGCTGCCAAAAGAACAATAGAAAGCAAATGGGTAAAGAGTCACAGATCTTAAACCAGACCTAACTCAAGAACACTTACATCTGTCTATGAGGGTTTACTTGAAGATTTGATTAGTCCATCAGTCATACTTGGAAGAAGAACAAGAGTTAGAGTTGATGGCACTAAATTTTATAGAATGTAAATTAGTTGTCAATAAAATATAAAGATTCCTTGATGAAAGCGATCAAAAAGAATTAGAACATAGACTTGATGCAATTAAAGATGTTTACAAAGTACTCACAACTAGAGATTTAGAATTTGAATTTAGAAGAGATGATACATTCTATCAAAAGAGAGGAGCAAAGAAAGTAGCCAAAAAATGAATTTGATTATCATAAGTATAGTAAAATACATATTTTATATCTAAGATAAATATATATATATATATATTTCTGTTAATCTTATTATATTATTCATATCTCATTATTACTTTATATCAAATTTCTCTAATTCACCAATAAATTGATTATAAAAATTAATTTATTATGGAACAGCTCTTGCACTAACTATTGGTAATTCATATGTTATCAATAAATACACTCTCTTACCATTATGTTTTTTGCAAATCCCCTAAACAATAATAATTTATTCCATATTACTCTAGCTAATGAAATCCCTTCTCCTACATCTGCATCACCTCTTCTTCCATAAACCAGAGGAGGATGCCATCTATGAACTTCATAATGTTCTCCTAATAACACAAATCCAGCTCCAATTGTATTATCTCTTACATCGTATGCCTTCAGGTATGGTGCCAACTCTTCTTTTGAAGCTGCACAATTTTTATGTGTAATCACATTTAAATCTTCATCAAATATTATTGCTTTAGCCCACTAATTATTTATTATAAATAATTTACTTCATCTTGCTTTTTCAATTCTGCCAACAATTATCCAGCATCTAATCCTTAATCCATAATTAATTTAAAATAAAAATTATATTGAATATATCATCATCTCAATCTATTTATTCTAACATTTTATTATTATATCTAAATTGATAATTTTATAAGAGTTATTCATAACATTAAATAATACTCAAAGATAGTAGATTATAATGTATAAAAATATTATTTGTTGTTAAATATAGAGATTATATATTAAATTATTCAATTATAAGAAAATAATGTTGTATTTTTAATAAATGAACTTAATTATTAAGCATCTTGATAGTTTTGAATTATTTATTAGTAAAAATTATAATTATATTTTATCATAAAAACAATTAAAAAGGAGATAGATGAAAGGACAGTATTATTCACTTAAAAGGAAAATCAATACATCAAGTTAGCTTCTCCGATCAAATTAATTACTATCACTTGCAGAAACTAATGATTAAATTTAAAAAAATAAAACTGACTCTTAATTATCAAACTCGCACAAAAAAATATCAAGATCAATAAATAATCTTCCAAAGAAAGACCCAAATTTAGACTTAGCTTTTATGACTATAACAAAACCAGATTCTAGATATGATTTTAGTAAATTTCCTAATTTAGAAAAAAAAACAGATGTTTAAAGAGTGAATTGGTTTACTAAATAAAATAAATAGATAGAATAATAATAAAATTTCTTAGAATTCTTAAATGCTACAAGGACATAATCTACAAAAAATTAGACTAAGACTAAAGTTAATGTTTAACAAAACAAAATAGATGATAAAAATGAATTAAATTATTGTGACAAGTATTTTGTTATTAAAACACCTATCAAACCAATTTTAATTAAACAAAAAAATACTAGTAAATGTAATCATATTTATTTAGAAAAGAACTAATAAGTATGAGCTCAACTATGAGTAGAATTAAGAAAAAAGCTCTTAATAGAAACATGAATTTAGAATGTACTATAAAATATAAATTTAAATAGAATTTATTGAAAAAAATAATGAATTAAGAAGACATTGTTAAACACAATAAGAACATCAATATACTTAAAATTCTATTTTGGAATAATTATAAATTAAAAATATTCAACATATTAATTTATATTCCTCTGTCAAAAGAGGTATTAAGAATAACATATTACATAATCAATATAAAAGCGAAATTAAAGATCTAATTGAATTAGATGATGAATTGACTATTTAGGATTATGAAACTATTAAAGAATTATAAAAGAAATCTATTTTTTAAAATCCTTTTTCAAATCCACATCATAATGAAATTAATCAATTTAATTCTTAATCTATTGATAATAATACAAAAATTAATGAATAAAATCAAAATGAATAATTATTAATCATTTAAAAAAGAAAAAATAAAATTAAACGTGTATTGTTATAAATCACTTTATTTTTACATTGGATGATTGAACATAAATTAAAATATGAAGATATTATTACTGGAAATGTATTTTAAACTAAACCTTACTAAAGTGAAAAGTCTAAATTATGTTTTCAAAAAGTAAAAGCCAATGATATTGATCTTGTTAATTAATTTATTAATCATAATAAATATCTAGTTTATGATTATGATAATTTTAAATTAACTATGCTTCATCATGCAGTTATTAGAGATTATCCAGAAATGGCAATCTTAATTTTATAAAATCATGCTGAAATTAATAGTAAAGATATTGTAATATTTTTATTTATTTTTATAGTAAGGAAGAACTCCATTATTTTATGCTATTAAAGGAAAATGTAATTAATGTGTTTTAATTTTATTATATTACAAGGCATCTCCATGGGGAAATGTCAAAAATACTTATGATAAATATTTAGAATTCTTAGATCCTAAAGTTAGAGATTTATATAAAAAAGCAAAAACAGTAATAAAAAATAATGAATATATTTTTAGATTCATCTTCGTATGCAAATACTTAAAGCATCCAAAAGAGAACATTATTGGTCATAATAAAAATTAATATTTACATATAAATGATTATTCTAATTTTATTTTTGATTTCATTCTCATATGCTCATGATTGGGATGAAAATACTAAAGTTAAATTATTGAATGAAGAGCAATATGATTTATTAAGTAAAAATCAATACAAAAATTATAGATAAAGATGAAGGAATATTCATAATGTTTTATGCTCCATGGTGTCCTCATTGTATTAAATTGATTCCAACATGGGAAATATAAGGCTAATAAAGCAATACAGCAGCTGTAAATTGTGAATAACATTCACAACTTTGTTCCAGATTCAAAATAAAAGGATTTCCATCTTTGATTTATATTCCCCCACAATCAAAATTTGGTTATAAATTTTATGGTGTATTTTTTTACTATTTTATAAGGTAATAGAACTAATGATGAGTTTGATTTATTTATTAAAGGAGGATGGTAAAAGGAAGGCATTTTATAAATTGAAATATTATCAGAATATACATTAGTTGATTAAATAATAGATTATCTTAAAGATCCTATGTTTATAGTATATATAAATTTAATAATTTAAGGGTGTCATAGTAGTGATGTTATTTTTAATTTTTATGATTTGTTGTATGAATAGATTAGATTCAGAGAGAGAAGAGATATAAAAAAATAAATAATAAAAAGTACAAAAAAAAGAAGATTGAGTAATTTATAAATTTAATTTATGAAATTCAATTTTTATCTAAATTATCATTATTATCTTATTTACATTTTTATAATAAATTACTTACTGTAACATCTAAGGATGCTATAAGTTTTTAATTAATTTCGTTATTTTAATCAGATAATATTTGTAAGATTACATCTTAAGTAATTCCCTATTATTTTATTTGTTAATCAGAATATAACTTTAATTCATCTTATTAATCTTTTTATGGGATATTATTAAATTTATCAAATAGAATTCTTTAATTGTCATTAAAAATTATATGTTTCAATTTTTCAACATCTTATAGTCTTTTTAAGATATTGAGAATATTTAATTAATTACTAATTTCTTTATGAGCTTGTCTGAATTGAAGTATATTTTCATCATCCTAAAATCTATTAATAATTATACTTTAGTGACAATACATCTTAAAGCTTAGAATGCATTTATGTATCCAAATTTAATATTTTTATTTTTACGAAATAAGGCTTTTTATAGATATTGAACATATGTTTAAAGAATAGTTTTGTATGATCTATCCTTACGACCTTATTTATTACAGATATTCTCTTTAATTGATAAAGTCTTGTTTGTTACAATTTAATCTTAACAAATTTAAACTTATTGTTCTAATTATCTCTATAAAGGAGAACCTGATTTCTCATTTTTAATTAAAGAAGAATCTTTTTATTAAAAATTATCTTCATATTATTATTTATCCTTAAATTCATATAAAGAATTAATAAGTTGAAGTAGAAGACTAATTTTATTTATTGGTTTAGAAATAATATAAAAGAGACTAAACAATACTTACCATAAGCCACCTAATTCTGCTAAAATTTCTTATATCTTTGGATATGTTCTATAATCAACATATTCAGTTGTATCAAGTCTAATAACTACATTCATAATCAAGTCACTTTAACTCAAATCCAACATTTCTGTATGTCTTCCATATCTCAAAGTTTTTTCATATTCCAATTTTGTTTAAATTAATCCTACATCTGTAATTGTAGTAAGTGGTTCTAAGTAAATTGAAATTTCCTTGTAGATATTACTTGATATAGTTGTAAAGAGATCTTGACCTTTTGGTTGATAAGGAGAATTTGGATTCTTTAAATTTGTAGTTTAAGATGAAATTTAAAAAGAAAAATAATTCTATGTTAATGCTTACTCAATTTCTTTCTAAGATTTGCAAGGTTAGCTTTTTTTATTTTATTCAGTACAAGTATTGAATTACATAATAATATATTCAAATTTTGGAGCATCAAAAGTTCCTTAAATTTATATATTAGGAATTTTATTCCAATCAATACAATAATTAGTTGGTAAATCTAAGTGTGAAAAATATTCCTTTAGTTCTTACTATTAAATTAATTATTCATTGCATTTGACTAAAGGTAATTCTTACTTATCATATACATCTATTTTGTATCCATCTTAGAGTTTTGCACTCTTTTTTACAAGGTAAGCGCTAACAACATAAATTGATTCATCTATATAAGTATTATAGGATGAGTTCTAAAAGGCAAAAGTCATAGTGAAGTTTGATGGCATTAAACTGTATTATTCAGGTTAAGAATGATAAATTTCTGAACTCAAAGAAGTTGGATTACTCCTGTCAAATAATGTAACTAGTTTTTAATAAAGTAAGTTTGAGAATAATGCCAACAATAAGACTGTTAGAATAGACCCAAATAATGTTTAGTGATATTCTTTTTTATCAACTAGTAATTGCAAAGGTTAAGCGAACAAATCAAATTATTTAATTCCTTTTAAGAAAATCTTGTTCTTTTACATTAATTTTTCAATTATTAAATGAATATATTAAATAATATTGAAGAACGTCTTTATTAATAAATCATTTAATAATTCAAGAAAATAATATACTTTATAATCTCATATATTCAATAATTATATAAAATATCAAATCTAATGGATATTTAAATCTAATACTTTACCTAAAATTGATTAAAAGAAGTTGTTGAATTAATGTCATATAAATTATTACTTTTAAATTTTGAAGTCAATAGGTTTAAGAAATATCTAATAATAAATTTAATGTTATAAATTGACTGATATAAATGGTTTTTAATATTTTAAATAATTATAAATCTGAATTTCAACCTATGGAGAAGAAAATAATTGAATTTTTATAGGAATGTTAAACTAATATTGGAAATTATTAAGATCTTACTTAAATGGAAGAAATTGTTCATTAACTTATTTCGATTGTTTGTACAACTTATTATCATATTTTGAAGATTTTCTAATTGATTAGGCTTAATAAAGCTTTGAAGAAGAAAAAAATAAATAGTAAGACTTAAATTAAGAATTATCTAATTTATAATCATAGTATTTTCAGGCATTATAAGAAATAGAAACACTTAAAGTACACCATAAATAAGATATTGAAGAGTTTTCCATAATTGAGGATAAGATGATTAAAAAAGAATATTTTATAGAATAAGAGAAGGATGAATAACTTAATTCTATGAAATCAAGTACAAATGAAATGGCGAGATCATTAAAATTACTATAATAACAATTAGAATAAGTAAAAAAGTTAAATGAAGATCAGTAAATGGAGATTTAAGAATTGCGTAAATTATTATAGTAATAAATGTAACATCATACTGAACCTGCACCTAATTAATTAGAATCTTAAAATCAAACTACAATCAATATTAAGGAACCTAAAGGTAGTATTCCTTCCTTTGAAAGTGTTAAAATAAATTAATAAGAAAGTTATATAAGTATAGAATTAAATTAGCAATCTAATTTATAAGAGAATTAATAAAAGGAAGATTATTCTTAAAGAATTTTACGTAAAAATAGTATTAAAGAAACTGGACATCATTTAAAATATAATCATTGTCATTCTAAAAATTAGAGTATAAATTGGGTTAAGTTGGCAACTATTGTTTAAACTGAATCATCAATATCTTCAAAATTTGATAATTCAGAATTAATCAATAAACAGCCTTAAAGGGGATTATCAAAATTTATAACTGACTGTGAACCTATTTTTTTGGATAGAAGAAATCCATATAAAGATTTTTATACATTAGTATGAAAAATTAATATAATTTAGATTAGTTAATCTGTTAAATTAAACCTTAATTAGACAAAATATTATGTTATTAATGTAGACATGCTTTATAATGATCTTTTGGCAGAAGGTGTTCCATTTCATAAATGGTATAAAAGAATAAAAGATTATATTATAAAATAAGCATAATGAATAACCCAAAAATTTTGCATTAAATTATTATTAAAAAAATTCAATTATTTAATTTTCATTTAGAATTAGAATTTTTTATTTCTTCATTTACTACTTCATCAAAAATAGATGAAAATAATTAATTTTCAAATTATTTAAAATATCCAAAATTCTCTTTTACAGAAACAGCCTAATATATTTAAAATTTATTACTAAATCTTGGGATTGTAATACATTAAAAAGGAAATTTTTAATATAAATTTTTAAATTGAACTCTTAATCTACAAAATTGTCATCAAACCAAAATTAATACTATGGATTAATAATAAAAAAAGTAATACTTCTATCCAATAATCTCTCTAATCATCTGGCTCTACTGATTATAAATCATCAACTAATTATTAAATTTCCTCTTAGGTTGGTACTCTGCATTCATATAATATAAAAGTAATGAGTAAAGTTTAGTAACTAAATCTAACATTTGGATAACAGCCCAAATGGGCTATTTTATTGATATTCAATTTAAATTATGATAAGAATTTAGTTCTTCTTTTTTAGAAAGACTCAAATATATCTAAAGGAATCCATACTGAATCACTTAGTGATTTAACTTCTTCATAAAATTGGATAGCCTATCTCCATTTTTCAGATTCAGGAATTAAATGTTATTACATATAAATCATCTTAAAGGCTTCTGAAATGGGACTAGGTTCAGGTATTGTAAGTATGGCTGTTTATCTATTTTCAATTTATTATTTTAAATAATTAATTGATTCAAAACAAAAGTCATTTTCACTATGAATATAATATGTTAATTACTTTTTAATGCCACAAATAATCCAATCATCAATTCTTGAATAAAGAATATCTTCCATCAATAACATTTCAGTCATTTTGCTGTAAGCAACACTTCTAATAATTTAACCTCTCTTATAAGCAATTTCTTTTTAGATTTTAATAATTAAAGATTCTTCACCTTATGTAATTTTATCGAGACAATCATTATAATAAGAAATAAGTACATCTAATTAAGGAAACTTATATCCATCAATTAATTATGATTGAGGTGGTTCAAGAATAAAATGTTCACTCCAAGGTTTTCCTAATAATTATATTTCTGTTAATAGATTGGTTTCTGTTTACAATAGCATTAATACATGTTACATAAATTATTAAATTTAAATAGCAACAAATCTATCCTTTTTCAATTTTTTAACAAAATCTAATGCTTAGTTTTTCTTTTAATTTAATATATCCCATAATTATTCATAAGTTTTTTATAAATGTTCTTTTAATTATTATTTTGCATTTTTTTATTTTGATAAATCATCATTTTCTTAAAGAAATTTATTATAACTTTATTAAAATTCATGCATTAATTTTAATTTATTATCAGGACTTTCAAAAAATTCAATAAAGGTTTTTTAAGTTTATAAAAATATCTATTAACATTTCTTTCTTTAATGACTCATTCTTCTAATATAAATAGTAGTTTCTCTTATATATGTATTAGATATTTCATCCCATTATTTTAAAATTCCTTTAAGTTAATCTTAATTTAAAAATTCACTTTGAACATCCTTTTATCGTGATGCTAATTGAGATCTTCCTCTTTCTGTTGATTATTTAGCATCAAGATGACTCTATTTCTCTTATAATATTTATGCCTATTATTCTGGATTCTATTCTTCCACTTTTTCTAAATCTACATTTTCTTAACCTTATTATTATTAAGATTATTATTCTTATTGTGTTTCATTAACCAATACTTCTTCAGCTATTTAATTCAAATACTCACAATTATGTGTAAGTACTTTATTAATTAAACCATCAATAGATTTTGCAACTTCAAATCCTTTACCTGTAATTTTTATATTATGTAATTATTTAAATTCTTCTTCAAAACCAAATTATTCACACCATTCTATAAGACCAGGTAAATTATCATTAAATTATTGAAATTCCTTCTATAATTTTCTAATATTAAATATAAAAATACTCTTCTGTTTCATTTTCTATTTTTAATAATTTATCAAGTTTAATCTCAGGAGGAGGTGGATTTTCTTCTAAATTATATATAATCTCTGTAAGTGGATCTATTCTTCTATTTTACATTCTTTAAACTCTTTATTCAAAGGGAGTATCCAAATTAATAATTAAATCTATCCCTGATTATTAAATTTTATTGGATTCCTCTTATGTAGGTATGTCCAACAATTCTTAAAATTTCTTTTTCTTTTCTTCAGCTATTTAATTCAACCTTTCTTCATATGGTATAAAACCAGTTAATTATTCTTCTAACATTTTAGCTTAATTAGCATTTTCTGGGAAACCAATCAAAACCATTCCTTTAGTATAATAAAATTATTTAGAATTTATATATTCTTTAATTAAATCTTCTTATGTTGGTCCAGTACTCTAAAGTGCATCTTTTTTGCCAGGTTTTTTTGAAGTCTTTTTAACTTCTTCAACAACAACTGGTTATTGATCTTTCTTTAATTACATTTCTTTTGCTTCTTTCATTTCTTATGCAACTTATAAAGGAGTTCTCTAATTAAATGTTTAATTTAATTTAATTAAGATTCCTTTTAATAATAATTCATCAGGAATTACTGTATCTTTATATTCATTAATTTATAATCCATATTCTTTTAATTCTGGATTTTCCACTATAGGAATTTCTATTACTTTTTTTGTATCTTTTTTTTTCTTAGGATCTTCAACAGGAGGAAAAGCAAGTTTTAATGATTCTTTTATTATAGATTCTATATCAATAATTTCTAAACCATATTTTAAATTTAAGTATTTAGCAGTAGTCTTTCTACCACTAAATTTACCTCCAATTAATGATATTTTAAGTGGTAAATAATAATTAATACCTTCTTTTAATGGTTACATTGGATATAATTCATCTGTTATTTCAAATAGAAATTCAGCTAATGATATATTTGCCATAAGTTAATTATCATTTTAAGTAGATTTCCAATCTTTAATTGCATGATAATATTCAACAAAATCTTATGTAATAGCTGCAGGTATATTATCATTAAGAGGTTTTACTTATGATAATTCATTTTGCCATTCTTCAATAAATTTATTCCAAATCTTTTTGTCTAATGTTAAAGGTTTACCATTTTCTTCTATATTTTCATTCATTTTTAAATAACATTTATCAGCCAAATCTAAAATTGTCAATATTAATGGTTGCATTTATTAAATATGTTTTAATCTTTTTTATACTTTTCTATTAAAATTCTATTCCATATATTAAACTTAAAGTATTCTCCACTCTTTTTATCTCTATAATCGAACTTCTTATTCTCTTGCTTTAGCTTCTTTTCTTAATTATTCAAAAAACATTTCTTTTTATTCTTCCAATACTTCACACATTAATATTCTTTCATTAAATTACAATTTTCCTCTTAATTTCTCTTTCTATCTTAAAGCTGCTTCTTAATTAGCTATTTTTCCATATTCTGAAAATTTATCAACTAATTCATCCAATCTTTTCTTAGCTTCAACTAATTCTTATTGTTTTAATTATTCAACTAACATTTTATTTCTTCGTTTCTGTCTTGCTTTTCTAGCTTCCTCAGTTTTATGTGTTCTTTCTCTTATTTTCATCATAGTTGCAACAGCAGAAAATTTAGCCTTTTCAGGTACAGGCTTTTTAGAAGGATCTTTTTCTATTTCAATTCCTTATCTGATACAAGTTTACAAAAATAAATAAATATTATTGTCCATAGCTTTTTAATCATCCTTTTTTTTTTAATTAACTTCAGCCACTAATCTTCCTGTCATCATCTAATTAAGTTTTATCTCTTTTTCTATTCGATTATGTTTAATTGATTCTGTATATTTCCAGAATTCATATATTTTTTTATCTTGTTCTTTTATAAATTCATGATTTGCTCTAATTTTTTCCAATTCATTCTCTCTTAATGACTATAACCATTGTCTCTCTTTTTCTTCATCCTTCTATTTTAATTAAACTGCTTAAATCTCATGGATAAGTTTCTCATCTCTAAATCTATGTAAACTCTCTTCAATAGATTTTAATTTCTTTGGCAATGAGTTTATAAACTTCTATTCATAACTAAAAATTGATATAACAGTTTCATAATTTACTTATTCACCAAAGATTGTACTTATTTTTTGTCTGTTACTTTCATAGTTTTTGTCAATTCATTTAAAACATCCTTTGTTTCTTTACGTGCAATTGTAAGTAATGAATTAACAGCAATTGGTTTTGAATGTTATTTAATTGCTTTCAAATATTCTTCTATTTATGATTAACCTTTTTCAACCTTTGGTTCAATTCCTACTAATTTTATAATGTGCTTTTTAACTATCTTTATATTCTTTTGTGTTGAATATTCATCAAATTTATTTGTTAAGATTTTCTTAAGAGGATTTCCTGTTTTATAAAGTACTTCTTAAAAATAAAACCAATTCTGAAATTGTTTTTCAATATCAAGAATTGCAGGTTAAAGTTTGATTTCTTTATTTAACCATCTTATTAATTCAGGATCTCCATATATTGATTTCATTAAATAATAAATAAATAATAATAATAATAGTATATAAGCTATTATTTGTTTATTTAAATTAATAATGTTACTATAGAATTTAAAGTATAATTAATATATTTAATAATTGTGATAAACTCATTAATAAGGTAAATCTTCATTATTATTTTAAGGATCAATTATTCCAACATCTAAAATCATACCTTAATCACACAAAGGATCAATATTATCTTTGTAATTGGTTTCTTATTACCAATTTTCATCTTCAATTTTCTATTATGGTTTCTAAAACTAAAGAATTGGCTCATCAATATTTTAACCTTCTGATTTATTAAAAAGCATATTTAACTAAAAAAATAGAGACAATTTATAATTACTTAATCAATAGCTTTTGTTATTTTAGGAATAGGAAAATTCAAATAAAATTAGTATTCCTTATATCTTTTTAATTTTCCAAGAATATTTTCAATCTAAAATTTATTAGAACTAAAATAATTCTAAGCAACTTTAAAATTATGTGTTATTTCAGCTATCCAAGAGGCCAAACAATAAGAAAAGTTTTTATCACTTAAAAATTGATTATTAATTGCATCTAAAATAGATTTACCTTTTGAGAATAATGCTAACTTTGTTTATGTTTCTATTAAAGCCTAAAATATATATAATTTAATTATACTTAGAATCTCATATCTCCATATGCATCTTATATTTTAAGTATGCTTTCTATTATATGAAATATTGGATCAATCTAATGCCAAGCCATATTCTAATCCAAAAGAATTTAAATTAATTATTCAATTATAATTTCACTTGTTTAGATATCATCAAAACAAAGATGCTTAGTCATATCTACAACTATTGGATTTAATTAAACCATAGGAGCAAATATAGTTTTATAATCTCCTTAATCTCTAATATCTGTAAGTAATTTATTATCTATATTAACAAATTAATTATAATGTTAAAATAAATATGTTGGTGTTTTTTCATTAGTTAATTTCATTCCATCAGTAAATGAACCTAAAATAGATTTACAAATCAATTCACACATTACTGAACAAGTACCTTCTAATCCTTTATCATTTAATTTACTTATATTCATACAATTTCCATGAAATTAATTTTCATGAATTGTTTCCTTATATAATTTATATATCGTTTATATATATCCTTTCTTTTATAGATAATCTATAATAAATGATGATGTAGAAACTGAAAATTTTAAAATTTAAAAGAATTCTGAAGCTCTTCTCATTGATTTTTTACATATTGGTAATAAATTATCAATAAAAAATGATAAAAATTATGTTATAGTTGAATTTTATGTTTGTAATTAATGTTTCTATTATTCTTCTTCATAATTAACAACACATTAAATTGATTGGATCAATAATTTACTAAATGCATGTTTAATATCCTATTAAGTTGATTCAATTATTGTATTTATAATTAAATTAAGATTTGTTTACAAATGAGTCAAAAACCAAAATGATGCTGATGTTACTTTTTCATATAAAGCACATAAGACATGTATTGAATTAACAAATTCTGATTAATCTTTATTCTTAATTAATGATTCTAAAGAAAATAAAGTAAATAATTTAACTACTTTTAATGATGGAGATTCTTATATATTGATTATATTCTATTCATCAGATTTTTATTAAATATTATAGGATTCCTATTATTATTCTTAATGATCTTCAAAATTAAATTAACATACAAATTCTCTTACAAATGCTTAATAATCTGATGAATAAAATAATTAATTTTTAAGATATACTATATTCTCTTAGATAATCTTATTTTATAAACATTTTTCATTTGTACCCTTAATTTGAATATCTTATTTATCAATTTTCTCATAAAATAATAAATATGCATTTTTTGATTTATTTGAATCCCAATCAAAATTATTATAATAATCATTTTATTAATTATTACCACCAAAACATTCTTATTTTAAATTTTCAAATTTAAATGGACTTACAAATCTATCATCAAATTCAAACCATTTATTTTCTTAAGAATTAATAAATGAATAATAATGTCCACTATCTGCACTTCCAGTATGAATTAAAACTCCTACTAATTTATATATATAATCTGTATAATCATCTAATTATAGATTATTAATTAAATGATCTTTTGTCCATTTAAACATATTTATTTCAGATGGAAATTCAAAATAATCATTTACTTTTAATTTCAACATTCTATTATAATCAAATTCAAATCTTTTAAGAGTAAAAATAAAAGTATTAGGTAATTTTTTAAAATAACATCTCTTTTCAACATCTATTCTTCTATTAATTGCTTCACAAAAATATTTATTTTCTCCATCTAATACATCTGCTTTTATAAATAAATCTAATGCTTCTTCTAAATTTTTCTTATTTTTTATTTCTATTGTTACAGTTAAAAAAACTTCATCTGTTTCTCTTTAAAATTCTACATCTTATTCTAATGATCTAATTTCATGTCCTAATATACCACCCATTATTTGATGAATTAAATCTTATTATTAAGTACCTTTTTAATCTTTCTCTAATTTATCAGTTAATAAATTGAAAAATTCATTAACATCCTATTAAACTGAACAATTTATAGGTAAACCATCATAACCTTATAAAGTTTTTATAAATTAAATTGGATTTATAAATGATCTTACACTATCCTATAATTGTATAAATACTAATTATAATTAATATAAAGTATTATCTTATAATTTAATTTTTGCAGATTCAGATTTTATTTAATCAACATCATCATAAATAATTGTTTCATTATTTTCTGTTATTGATATCTAACTATTTAAAATTCCATGTCTAAATGCTTTATTCATAAAAAATTATTATAATAATGAATTAATATAACATGTAGCACCTAAATTCTTTAGTCCAACAAATCCATAATGTCCTTTAACACCAGTATCAAAATCTTAATCTGGTTATTCAATTCTCCCATGAGTATTAGATATAGGATCTAATAAAAGTAAAAAATTTTATTCACAATTTTTACTTGCCTCAATTAATAAATGAAATGTTCTCTTTCTTGTTAATTTTCTTTTAAATTTTGGATATTTAGCATAATCATCATTTAAATGAAATAAAAATTCATATACTTATCTAATTAATTATTTTGATAATGCTTCTTTTGTTTAAGGACATATTTCTATTATAGCTGTCAAAAGTATTAAATATCCTTAAACTACTTTATCTTCATTATCTTCAAATCTTTCTTCTATTATAGGTCTATCAATAATCTTTTATATTATTTATTATGATAAATCTTAAAAGTCAAAATTTTATGTAAGTATCTCATAATTAGTTCTTTTAAGAACAACAGCAGTCAATATGAATATATCTTCAAATTAAGTATTTGGATTTACTATTTGAGGAATTAATTCTTTTAATAAATAGAATCCAAAATCATTTTGTGTATTTTAAGAAGGTATTTTACAAATTTAAATTAATGAATATGTTAAAATTCTTCTACATTCTTAAGATTAAGATTATGTCAAAACTTATATAACTTAAGAGGGAAAACTTTCAATTTCATAAATAGTTTGTACAAGATTTGAATTTTAATATAAAATTAATAAAATTGCTTAGAAAATTTATTCAAATCCTAAATCAATTTTATTAATTAAAGATTTTAAAAGATCTTCATGAGAAAAATCTAAAAATCCTTAAAAAAGTTAATTTTCTTTAAATTAAAGAATTAACATTTGTCTTTCATCAAAATTATCTTAAACCTATAATTATTATTTTGATATTGGTATTGAATGTTCTTCAACAGGTGGAGTTAATGGAGGAGTAATTGATGCATTATTAAATTTAGGAGTAGATACTCCACTTGATTAAGAATTTGATGCTGTTTCAGACTTTTATTTTGATTTATCAGAGTCATTATTTTCATTAAAAAAGAAACTTGAAGGTAATCTATCTTCAAATTATTTAAATTGATTTCTAACAGTTTCTTTTAAATTGATTATTCTACTACAAAATTCATCATTTCTCTCTATTTTTGATAATACATATGCTGTAAAATAAATAAGAAATATTTCTAATGCTAATTAAATAGTATTTGAATCAATATTAGGCATAAAAAATAATTATTATATTTAAATTAATCCACCTTACATTAAAAAATTCTCTCTACATTATTTTCGTTTTCTTAATTCATCTTAATCATCTATAAAATCACAATCTAATAATTCTTTTAATATTTATAGATTATAATATAATTTATATTTATTTTATTAATCTAATAGATTTTCCCATTCTGATGTTTATTAACATTTATCAATCAATTCATATGTCTCTCTATTTCTAGGAATCATAGATAAAATCTACCAAACTTTTGAATTCAAATTTTCATCATTTAAATTTAAAATATCAAATAATTTTTAAATATAATTATTATTTTCTGATATGAAAGTTGCAACACTAAATTTTTAAACCAATTAAAAATTATTTTCATTCTAAACAGCTTTCTAAAATTAATATTATGGTTATTAAGGATTAGATATTTAATTTTCTATAAATTAAGTTTACTATTATTTATTAGATTTATCTTATAGAGGACTAACTTATCTAATTTGTTTTTCTTCAAATTTTTATAAATGAAATTCTCTATTTTCAATCAATTCAAGTATAGAAATTTCTAAATTCCAATTATTTTCATTTAATAAATATTCTACAAGTTCTTAATTAAATTCATCAGTTATACTCATAACTTTTTAAATCTTTTCTTATTAATCATTATTTAATTATTTATAAATTGGCATTCCTAAAGGTATTGGCTCATTTATTGAAAGAGGAACAACTTTACTAAATTTTTAAGGATTAAAAGCATCTTTTAAATCATCAATATCACCTTAACATATAGCTAATGGTTTTGAATCTTCAATTTTTTAATTTTCATCTTATTAAGTTCTCATCAAAATTTAAAAAGTAGGTTTCTTATCAAATTTATAATCTTTTAAACTCTTTTAATTATCAAGCCATGTTCCTCTA